GGTCAATCGATTATGTGAGAATCTAATCAATTTATCACCTGTACAGATTAATCATCAAGGAACAACGTCAAACGTAAAATCATTTTAACAGCAAATTTCTCTCGTAAATGTTATACCGTATAACACGATCAATGTTTTACTTAAGCATATTATGATATTCTTTAGATAATGTTTGAAGAATAACATTGATCTGATAAAGTGATAAACATTAACTGAATTTCTTGCATAACAATTTCGCTTTTATCTCTAAAGAATGCATTCTAGTATATTTGTAAGTCTTAGAGTATCTTATTCATTTCAAACGTATCCCTTAAAACATCTGATGTGTAATGACCGAATTCCAAAATGGAACAAAATGCCTGCAACAAAAATCTATACTACATGTATATAAGTAATGTCATTTCCATTATACTTTGAACTGTTTTATTTGACCAGTCTTAGTTTGTATGCATGATGAATATTCCGATTCCTATTCTGATAGACTTGTACGTTTTTTTTTTTTATTAAGAAGCAATACTTACAAATTGTAACATAAAAAAATCAAACCAAACCAAAATCGAGCCAGCTGTTGAGTGTGCGATCTTTTAATGTTTATTCTGAAGCAATGTAATGTTCCGTAAATTGCTTGATTGTTTAAAATATAAAAATATGATTCATACTTTGGTGGATTGGATGTACTTGTTTTCGTCTTTATCCCTTCGTTATGGGTATTAAATTTTTGTTAAGTTCTCTTTATTTTGAATTAGTGATTTGATTGCCTTCAAACACTGAATCTGAATTTGAATGATGTGAATACTTTCAAACACGCATCATATTTTAATATATAACTTAAATACTTGAGATTTCTCTCTAGATTTTAAATCAAGTAAACTTTTTTTTTTTTTTTTTTTACAGAAACAACACATTACATATATGTTCGGAAGCGAACATTTGGCACACTCACATACAGAAATACACACACTTACATACAGAGTGAGACACACGCCTACAATATTACATGTGGAAGGGGGGTGAAATAAATAAGAATCAAGTAAACGTAATCCGTAAAAAAAGATAACTTTCTTTAGTTAGCTAACTTTACATATCTACTTTCTTTGTACATCTAGTAAAATTTAATTCACCAAATGTACAATTTATGCATATACTGTTATTACATCCATTCCGAAAATTTCCACGAAGTCATAAAATGTTTTAATTTTAATTAGGTTGAAAACAATATGTGTATTTTAAATAAATTGTGTGATGCTTTTCAAAAATAAAAGTTCTGTTAAACACATTCAAAGCATCAGATGCATTCATGGAATCATGACTTCATGTTCGATAGAAGAAAACAGAGTGAAAAGAGCATTTTCCCGTAGAAAAAACTGACTCTAAACAATTTGTGATATACTTTATAACCTAAAAATACAATATCCCTTCTTTTAAATCAAATTATTTAAGTAATTTAATACAAAGGCTAGACACTCGATTAAATCTGTAACACAAAAAGGGTGTCGAAAGGTCAAACACAGCATCCTTTTCTGTACATTTTCACACGTATGATATGTTAACCCCTGTATATGTTTTGTTTTTAATCTGACCTATCTACATTTGATGTTGTATGTAAGTTCATTTTTGCATGGTGTAAAGATCAGACTAGTTGAAGACTACAAGCATGAAAATGTATATTCTGGCGTCTCAAAAACTGAGAAAGTTATAAAATAATGGAAGAGAAAATTCACCTAAAGAAATTAAAGCTAGATCCCTTCAAAGCCAACATATTATATATGTTAATTCATTAGTTAAAATCTTTTTGAAAATGAAAAAACCAACGAGTTGTTGCGAAGCAAAATGAACAGTGTTTAGAAATAAAATTAAAAAATCAAAAATAACCTAAAGGCCATGAAGACAAATCACAGAAGCTATTTTTTTTTTATTTGTTCAAACGATTTATTGATGAAAGAAATGTAACTCTTCTTTGACACAAGTCCTATTTGCTTTGTGAAAAGCTTTTTCTGGGCCCTCCACTATAGGATGAAGCCATCTGTGAGATTTTTAAGTCAAGTCCACGTTGCCATTTAATTTTTTTATAACAAATGTTAGGGTTAATTCTTTATAATTACGTATAATGCGGTAAACCGAATCTGAAACAAAACCATCCAATGTCTTTGTGATTTCCTTCGATCACCTCATACTTTAGACCTGTTATTACTGGTGACATAAATAATAAAATATGTGGAGATAAGTATTATTTAAGCTAAATAGTCCAATTAAACAATAAAATCAGGAGTAGAGCAAACAAACACCTCTACAACATCCGAGATGGGATCTGTTGCCATTGAATATCACCTGCCGAAGGGTGTACAGCCGCAGTGTGCTACTTGTCACGGTCGGGAAATAAAGTAAAAATCCTTCGACAATTTAGTGTGAAAATACTAGCCTAACAATAAGAATGAATTTGCACTTGACTTAATGATGGATTGTATTTGCTGACAAGGTCATTATATCGACCATAAAATTTACGAAATGATAACTTTATACAAGACAATTTATATTTTTGTTTGTTAATAATTATATCATTTTAAAAATTGTTCCTATGTACATCATGGTCTTGCGCATCCAATCAATTGAGATATATGTAAACCCAAAATGCAGCTAACAGAGATTAATTGCTGCATTGATAGGGAAGCTGACAATTGAAAAGTTGGTGTCATTACATTTCACATAAAGCTATGTTATTATATTAGTATTAAACGCTTTTTTTTTCTAGTAAGATATTCAAATATGAAGCAGATGTGTCAAAAATTAATTTTGAAATAATAAAGGCCTTGAATCACTCACTTTAAGAGTGACAAATTGAAGGGAATCCGAAGGGAATCAAATGGCAAAATAATTTCATAGATATTATAAATTCTGCAAAGGATTACGCAAGGCGATATAAGGGTTAGTCCTTGCGAACCATTCGGCTGATAAATCTATTCCTTTCCATTTACGGATTGAAAATAGGTTAACTTTGCACCCATCCGAGAGATTAAGGGTTAGCTTTTGTACCCACCTAAATATCTTGCTAAGATATAATACACTCTTACGACTGATTTGGGTAAGTCACACATATCCAAGAGATGATGAGTAGACTCACTCTTAAAATTAATTTATATCTTTTTTTAAACATCGAATCTCTAAACATTGCGTGGTATTGCAATTTGTCGCAGCAGCACTGTGACTTCGGAAACGTTAATTGTCATCGGTCTTTGTCGTGTTTGATTAACCAAATACTTTAAAAATTTTGAGTTTGGCGTGAACATCGAACTGAAGTACATGAAATAATCTGAAAGCTAATTCAAACTGAGGAAATGTAACTTTAAATTATCCAAAAATGCGAACGTTCACAATACCAAATGACACCCACTCAATGATATATAGTTTGTTAATTACAAACAAGTGAGACAGTGGAGGGAAAAGATAGATTGCATTACTTTCAAGTTATGCTTCATAGGGAATGCTGATCAAATTCTCTAAATCAAATACAGCTACGTTTTGATTTAAAATCTAACAAAAGTAATTATGTCATTTTTTAAATTTAAAAAGTAAATCAAATCTCTAGATTACTAATCCTGTTATTTTATGAAATGTTGTTTTATCAGAAGTTGACAGCAATCCTTGAAATTTTGACCTTGTGGAAAAAATAAATTCTTTAAATTTCTTTTCACATTGAATGATTTTACATGCACATTTGCATAATATACTATTTACAATATGTTGTTCATATTGATTTCTGTCTTACTATACAAGATAAAGCTGAAAAATACATTAATACCTGGGCTTTTGAAAATTTTAAGTAGATATTTATCTTAGATTAGGTTCTTAGGTTTTTAGATAGGAATCCTTGAATGTAACTATACTCAAGGAAACGGAAATACAGGGATAATACCGGGGTAACTTTTGAAGTGATTTACTGTAATTATTTTAAACGTATATTTCAAACATTATTTTCTAAAATTTCAACTTTACCTAAAACTTTCCTTGAACATTCAGAGAAAATAGAGAAGGGTTTGTGAAATTTTTCAAAAATAATTTTAAACACAGATTCGGATGAATGATCATTGGTGGATGTTTTTGTTGTTGTTGTTACTTGCTTACATTTCGTTTTGTTTAATTGATAGCATTGTTAACGTGAAAAAGTTCTTTCTGGAACGGTAGACAGCGACACACGGCTCGTACTAAGGCCTTCCGAGCATCTGCTCCGATTTTGTAAATTTTGTAAATTAATTTCATAAAATATTTTTTGAAAACTAATGAATCAGTTTTTACCCTTTTCATTCAACATCACATGGAATGTCCAACGCAGCGAAACGTAATAAACTGTTTATGTTTACGTTTACTTCTATGTTTACAGAGATAATCATCCAAGCTTTTTTAAAAGTCATTACTTGTGATTATAATTTTTTTTACACGTTTGAAACAAAGTTGGTTATGTTTTTAAGAGAAAAAAAAACGCCATCGCTTGTGAATATTGATAAATGTGTAACATTCTTTAAACACAGATAATCACCTCTTTTTAAAGAAGAGAAAGAAAAGAAAGCCATGGCTTTTGAATTTATAAAACTGTAACATTTTGAAATTTGATATGGTTCCGTAATGAATGCTTATTGTTTAACACACTCAATATACAGCATTTAAACTCCACTACCCCATTTTCCAAAAACGACTTCAACCCAAAAGATCGATAATCATCTACATAACAACCTTCCATACGCCTTGACCCACTATCAAGTTTTATCTTGTTAAAGCTCTAAGACAAGACAAACATGCAGTTTGCACAATTTATTTTACTGTCAGTGCTAAGAAACTGAGGTCAATTTTAACTGCGAGTACCTAAAAGTAAGTACAATAGTGTGCTAAAAATTAAAGTTATCTATCGCTACTTCTTGAATGTAACATTATTAGAAAATGAAAATTGAGAGGAGAGCAATAACTTACTCTCGAAACTAATTTTTTTTCAGACACATTTTTACAACAAAACATTGAATTTTCGAAATAAAAAAAGGAAATCGTAATAGAATGTCAGGGCCCGACAAAAAGCAAACGTCCAATCCAGTGCCACCACCAAAACCACCGAGGACATTTGCGTCAAAGGTAATATGAAACAAATGAATAGGAAACAATCATTATACTCATCAATTCGAGAAAATATGTCCTAATGAGAGACCATGACATGCATACATGTACATTAAATTTTGGGAATTATTTTGCAGCCAAAAACAAGTGCAGTTAAACCAGATCAAGTGGACAAGGAATCGGAGGATTACGATACAATCTGGCCTTCCAAAAGTGAACATCTTCTGAAGAAGATAGAAAATCTTAAAGTAAAGAATGACTCTAAACCACATAGAGAAGACTCGGGACATACTACTTTGTCTACCACAGGTGGTCAAAGAAAGGTAATTTAAAAAAAGAAAGTTTTAATAACTTATTTTGACACTATACATTTTTAAAGCCAGTTCTCAGATAAAGTACATGTAATGAATTAGTAAATTGTGTGCATTTGTATGTTTCAAATCAGGGACAGGAATCTACGGGTTCTGTTAAGGACAGGATACGACAACTCGAGCAGAAAAGTTGCAATGCAGAAGTAAAACCCATGCAAGAACAAAAGCGTGACAATTCTACATCGACCATGGTACCTACGCATGTAAAAGGAGAAGTAAATAGAAGACCACCAAAACCAAAACCTAGATTAAATAAAAGAAAGGTAGGGATTTAGATCATTAATAATGTCAGATGATTATGGATTTCTCATTATGAATTTTGCTCTCTAGACATATTATACGCATTTTAGAGCAATGAAGAACAAAGAATGGAACGGGAATTGAAAGATGAGATTTATGCAGAAATAAATGATGAAGAAGACGACAAAAGGTGAAACTGAAATATAAAATCTATTTATTTCATACAGCATCATAATCAAAAGTTTAATTAGGAGAAATTTAACGTAGAAAATACAATGAAGCAAAGGATATGTTTATCTTGATTACACCCTGTCACTATGTACACATCATCTTCTGCATAAAAGGGGCAAATTACATGCAACAATAAATGCAAATATGAATGATATAACTGATATAAGCTACTGCAGTTCCTATCAAATCCAGTCACATAGCTTTAGTTTGTTTTATTTTGCGGTTTTACACCTTTAGATCGTTGTGACTTCCCATTTTTGTATATTTCCAGGAGCAATTACGAATTTGTAGCGGCAATTGATATCGGAACGACTTATTCAGGGTACGCCTTTTCAAGCCGCGAGCAGTTCAACAGTAATCCTTTGGATATTTTCACCCCGCGATGGAATGACGGTCTGTTCCTATCCCTGAAAACATCCACCTGTGCATTGTATAATGAGAAAGGAGAGTTTGACTGTTTCGGATATGAAGCTGACAATAAGTACTATGAAATGACTTATAATGACCCAGATCTTGTGGAACGTTGTTTGAAGTTTACAAATTTTAAAATGAAATTGTATGATACAAAGGTAATTATACAGATCTAATTGTTTAAACATCAACGATACCAGGAGTGAAACATTTCATATATTACCTGTATTATATAAAGGTCAGAAATGTTTAGTCAACTGATTAAAATTAACTCTTGTAATTCCGTTATTTTTAGGGATCTTTAGAAGGCTTGGTCCTAGAAGCCGATCAAGGAGGTACAATGCCAGCTTTAATTGTATTTTCGGACGTTATTTTTCACCTAAAGAGTAAGATTATGAATGACATTCGCCAAATAAAATCTAATGTCATTGAGGATGACGTGCGATGGGTTCTCACTGTTCCCGCAATTTGGAATGATGAAGCCAGGAAGTTTATGATTAGAGCTGCTGTAAAGGTAAGGGGACACAAATATTTCCAGTAATGCAGGACAGAATGATTTAGACCATAAGGCGACCTCTCTTACCTTTTATTTTAGGCGGGACTTCATGCAGACGATCTATTTCTCAGTTTGGAACCGGAAGCAGCTGCTGTAATGTGTAAAGAGCTGAAAGTGCAAAACTATATCCAAACAAAATCCGACAGTGTTTTAGCCTTCATGTTGGGTACAAAATTTGTTGTTGTTGATCTTGGAGGTAAGTTAACTGGCTAAGAGGGTTTAAATTGTAGTGCTAAAAAGGGAATGGTAATTTTTTTATGTAAATTTGTCAAAAATTGGGAAAAATGTTTAAATTAGTACAACTTTAGATGCAATTATGGTTGAACGTTTTTCTTTTACTTTATCATATTTTTGTTGTTTTTTCTTTTTAAAAAATAGGTGGTACAGTAGATATAACAACAAACGAGGTTCTCTCAAATGGCATGATCCGGGAACTCAAGTGTTGCAGAGGAAGTGACTGTGGAGGAACATGCGTGGATAAGTGTTTTTGGAAATATATAAGAAAAATTCTTGACTGTGATTTCGAAACTTTGCGTAAATCATATCGAACTGAAATGCATGACTTATGGAGGAGCTTTGAGATAAAGAAAAGACAAGTCGATTCACAAAAATCTCAATACGTCATGCTCCAAATACCATCTATTATAGCTAATAAAATAAATTCCAAGAAATTAAGCCAAGACAATGTTCTTCTGGTTCGAGACAAACTTAAATTTCCAATACAGGTTTTCAAAGATTTCTTTTCTTCGTCAGTCTCAAGCATTCAGGAGTGCCTTCGTGGGGTTGTTACTGATGATATTCACTCAATACTGCTCGTTGGCGGCTATGCTGGTTGCAAAGAAATCAAACAGGCCATCAAGCAAACCTACCCATCAATTCGTTTAGTCTGTCCCCCTGACTCCGATTTGGCTGTAGTTAAGGGAGCAGTTATTTTCGGACACAATCCAGCCGTCATTTCTTCGAGAATAAGTAAAATGTGGTATGGTATTCAAATAACACCTGACATTTCTCCTATCAACAAAATCCCTGAAGGAAATTTCTATCATGTGACCAAAAAAGGTCAACCGATAAAAATTGGTGAAAAGTCACTTCACAAATTTTACATAAGTGAGAAGCTGCAAGACGATGTTCTGAATCTTAGGCAAGTTAGTTCCTCTGATGATAAGATGCCAGTAAATGTTGAAACAAATTGCACAGTTTCGGATCTACGCATACCTATTCCTGTACATCAGCACCACATGAAAAGAATTCTAAATATCTCAGTGAAATTTAAAGGAACAGAATTTGTGTATTCTACATTTGTTACAATGAAAGCCTGCAGTCCAACTAGACTTGTTGTTAAGGTTACCTGATACTTGAGCAAATGCTTTATCTTTGGTCTTAGTGTCATATAATCAGGTTCTGGAAACCACATATATGGAAATAACAAGTCAAGATTTGGTTAACAATTATAGTTTTAGAAGTAAATTATAATTTATAAAGAAATAGCAGTCAAAATGCGCGGTGATGAGATTTTTAAAGATAATTTTAAGAGTATGATTTACAGTAAATGCGCGTACAGAAAAGTTAAGTCTTCAATATTTGCAAACGCTGGCTTCTGTAAATAGACTTTTACTAGGAATTGTGTGCTTGCTTTCGTTCTATTTACATCGATGTTGAATGTATTTGAAATACATCAAATTTGAATTTGTGTTTCTCTTTTATTTTCCTATGCACTTGCGTTCAGAAATCTTGCATGTATTGGTATCAACTTTTTAATCTATCTTTGTATTATAAATGGGGTTTGGATTTAATTGAACGATTTCTTCTTAAATGTATTGTTTTAATATTTATTTTGATTTCCTTTTTTAAGAGTTGACATTTTACACCAAATTCTTTAATGAAAAATAAACATTTCTAATAAATCTGTTAAATGATTAACGTATACGTAGTGAAGAAGAAGGTTGCTATCGGTGAGAATAGAAAATTTCTGTAAACAATTAAACAATCATACGTATTTTTTGAGTTGGATCGAGTAGCGAGCTACTCCCTGTTGACATAGCTGTTTCAGAGCTGTAAACTTTCTCACGCATTCATCAAGGTGATCCATACGCCAAATATTATAGTTCTAGCAAAAATTGCTTTTGCTTGAGTGATTGTATAAACTTAGGATGTAAAAACTGTATAAAATTTCATACTGTATTATTATTTACGTCTTCATGCTTTTAAAGAAATTTTTGATTAAATATCGGCACGATGTACAATTACTGCGTATGAATATATGTTCAAGCACATTAGGCGGATCTAATCTTCCTATCTGAAGTTTATTTATAATTGACCTAGAATACTCCCTAACACAAACACCTGCTGTTCTCATTAGCTGCAGCTAGTGTGCTTGAAAAATCTATTTTTAGAATCCAGCTTTGCAGTGGGAATCTTTAAACTAATTACTCCATAACACTGACCACTGCAGCTAGTGTGCTTAAATTCATTGTAGAATCCAAGTTTGCATTGCTGCTTCTCACAGTAATATGTACTGTACGGAAGCCCATTAGTGCCAACCTGTATATATAAAGGAAAAGAATTATACACTTTATTTTTTAACCGAGCATGGAGACTTATAATATTCAATCGCTTAAGATGCAAAATAAACTGAATATAAGGTATGGTGTCCAGATGTATGAAAAAGCTAAATTAACACTAGCGAGTCAACTCGCAGGCCCTTCAGGCCTTTGATTCTTCTATTTCTTAATTAAAAAAACAATATTCGTAAAATTTATTACGTCAAAAATAGAAAAGAAAAAAAAAATAATTATTTTATATTAAAGGTTTCAAAGTTGTATGCATTGCAATACTGAAAAATCCTAGTTTGAAATGCACCCTATTGGTATGCTTTGAATGTGGATATTTTGAGCTGTTAATTCCAGAGGCAGGACCATGTACGCAGGGTGAGTAAGCTTCCCCTATTGACAAGTCACACCAGGAAACATCCAAATATGAAACCAATGTGACAAACTCTCAGGTGTCTTTTATTATAGTGCGATATATTGTGTCGAGATACGAAATGAATAACTTTTAATTGACAAAACATGATTTATCGGAATGTGGAATTAAAGGCCACAGCTAGTGTTTCTTCTACTTGAAAAGAAGTTTTTGAATAAAGTTTGCTTTATACGAGTAGGTATATAAAAACGGGTCAGCTAATAAAGGAATGTTCACAATTATTACCCATAAAAATATGGCCATCGATTGTCCAACAGCTTGTCTCCGAGGACTACCTAAATGTTGTCAATGAGGAACTCCAGCATTCTTTTAATATCGACTTCGGAGTACTTGTGTGTACTATCAAAGTGCGGTTTAACGAAGTAATTTTGCTGATGACCAATCACAATATGTGAAAATGTTCCTACTTCATTTTATCTAAATAGCAGTTGTCTACGATATTAATAATTCTAGATTTTATTTACAGTGTAATTGCGAGGAATTGTTGTATAAAGTGAAGAAAAGTTGAAAGTTTTGATAATATAAACTTAAGAAAAAAATTGGGATATATAAGTCTCTGACTAATTATAAAGTTCTTTAATTTTTCTTTTACACCATATCTAGAAGAATCTGAGGCACAGTGCGTCTGACGTTGCCCGTTTACAGGAGTGAATATTTTTTAAAACAGTTAAGATAAGGGCTTACTAGAGTATTTGCTGAATCAACCAATGTTTGTATGAGGTTTAGGAATCCGAGATTGGTGCGGTACACCACACTCACCTCATCAAACTGGTATATTAAAAGTATTAATGACTGAAATGTTATTATGATGAATATTTCCCTTGAAAGCGATCTGAAAGTATTTCTTGGATTATCAGAGTTACTGACGTAGAATTAAAACCAAGTTCTTTCAAAATACAGTTTTAATAGTGAACATTACAAAACAAACAAAGAAGATATTGTAGCAAGCGTCATCTGATGGAACAAAAACATATTACTTTTGTTTGTATAGTCTCTCGAACTATTTTATCACTTGCAGTTTATTAAAAAGCAAAGATAATATAACATCCCATATTTACGTGGGGTGAAGTTTTCGTGATAGGAAATAAAAAAAATAATTGTGTGTGGAGACTTGTTTTTCATTTTCGTCAAAATTGTGCTCCATAGACAGTCCAAAAGGCGTAACTGTCCGCTCATTCTCATCAACGTAGTGATATGATATTATACCTGTGTTTATGTATTTAATTAGATTGCGATATTCAGGCTATAATCTTATTTTTATACAAAGATATTTTCATGTAAGATTTACATCTGATATTAAAAAGTTATTAATTTGTACAGATCCCTCGATCTTTAATTCACTTAACATGACAAGAGGGGTAAAATTCCTATTTGAGTAGGTGTACAAGGTAGCTATGACCTCTGTGAAATATTTAAGAAATAAACAACGTTATTCAGTGAACATGGCGTTATGAATAGCAATTGCTCTGCTGGCATATTCCATGATGCGCGCTAGGAAAATATGCCAGCGGAGCTATTGCTATTCATGACACCATATTCACTGAATATACGTTATTTATTACTTATATTTGCATTCTTTGATGTTGCCAAGAATATCAAAGGAAATCCTGACTTCCATCAGGACACGGCTTCTTGTCTTCAGTAAAGAAAAACAGACGGCTATGAAATCAGTAGACCTAATAAATTAATGCACATTTTCTCTAATAATTCACAAACAATTTCTAATTTAAAGTATTTGCCTCTCAAACACTGTTATCTGGATACCAGCTGCCCCGTCATCACATTCTCTTAATTTTTTTGTTTTGATGCAGTTGTGACGTAATCAATCAATCAACGTTATTGAAACCCTCTGACATAAATCAACATTTACATTTACTTTATTTAACTATAATAAAAAGTATTATAAAATTTCAAGTTATAAATACACATAACACACAAGACCAAATCAACAAAGTCTGTCTGGCGTATGAATAAAGTGACTTCGCCATTACAGTTTAAACAAATACAGTGTTGACGTAATCAATCAAGTTTAAAGTGAAGAAAAGTTGAAATTTTTGATTGAAACCCTCGATAAACTCAATATTTACATTTACTTTATTTAACCATAATAAAAATGTCTTATAAAATTTTATATAAATACACATAACACATTCATTTGTATTTCTTTGTTTCAAAATATAGTTTATCATTTAAGATTGAAAAATAAAGAAAACTTTGATTATTGTTATTTGTTTCATTGTGCACTATTTTCGTTTGCGGATTTTGGATTGTGTGTAAACGAACTCTGGCGGGAAACTTGGATTAAGCTGTTTCAAAAGCTCTTCTATCAATTGCAACTTGCATGAAGGATAAGGCGGGAATTTTAATTAAAAGAATCAAAATTGCGTATCATGGCGCACATTTTCTTCTAATAATTTTGAATATGTCATCACATTCTCTTAATTTTTTTGTTTTGATGCAGTTGTGACGTAATCAATCAATCAACGTTATTGAAACCCTCTGACATAAATCAATATTTACATTTACTTTATTTAACCATAATAAAAAGTATTGTTATAAATACACTAACACACAAGACCTCAAACTGTCTGGCGTATGTAATCTCTGGCGGGAAACTTGGATTAAGCTGTTTCAAAAGCTCTTCTATCAATTGCAACTTGCATGAAGGATAAGGCGGGAATTTTAATTAAAAGAATCAAAATTGCGGTAAATACAGGGGCTAAAAAATGTAAATATAAGCATTGAATTATCATTTTTTGAAAGATGCAGTCTCATAACTGCAATGGTGTGTGCAAAGAAATTTTCATAACGCGCTCAGGCGCGTAACTCAATTTGTTTGCAAACACCATTGCAGTTATGAGACTGCATCTTTCAAAAAATGATAATTCAATGCTTATATTTACATTCAATGCTTAAATAAATTTAAAACTATGATGAAAAAAGAGAATGCTTTAAAAATGATTATAACTCTTGAATGCTTTTCTGATTTTTTAAGTTCTTTTATTTATTATTAAGAGCTGAAATAGATTTTGTAAATGTTAAAACACCCAAGGAGAAGAGTTATCCTTCTTTGTACAAATATGCGAAAATATCATGAGAAAAAAAATATGACACTTCTCTTCAATTTGTCAAACGTTTTATTATACAATGAAATACATTGACCAAAATTAAATTTTTAAAAATATAAATCAGCAATTTTAAATTATTCTGAAGTTCTTTTTTCCATATTATTAAAAACTTATATTTATTACTTTTGCAATACATTTCATATATACACTTCTGAACGAACGTATCAAGTGTAGTAAAGCTTGTACACTGTACTATGCGAGTGTGAAAAAGGAATTGCACTCATAGCAGTAGAAGATGCGTCTATAGGCCTATGGACGAAAATGAAGCCTGTAGGTTCATAGTGGGAGAAAGCAGAGTGAATGCAAATATCGGGATATAACGAACAGTATTCAAGCTGAAAAGTTTATTAAACAATACAAAATAAGAGCACGGCACTCTGAAACATCAGAAGTGGGAAAAAGAAATCAACATAATCAAAACAAGAAAAAATAAACCCTGACTGGGATCACATCAAAAATCATTAATATGAAAGGATCAGGTGCCAAGTAGAAGTGAGCAGCTCCTGACGACCGGTCGCTCTCGCTGTGTGCTCCTTGTCACTAATTGACTAACAATTAGTACGAAAACGTCAGTCTCATTTGACTCAATGATTAATTGTATTTGATGTCAAGGTAAATAGTATCGACTATCGACCATAGAACTAACGAAATGATGACTTTAAGCGAGACTGTTGATATCCTTGTTTCATCAACTTGTTTGTCAATAATTTACCCCGTTTAAGAAATTGTACATACGTAGAGTATGCTCTTGTGTATGGAATCAACTGAGAGTTATAAACTCCGTATGCAGTTGATGAATGTATATTGCTGCATTAGTAAGGGAAGATGACAATAGAGAAGTTAAAGTCATCACGTTTATCATAGAACTTGGTTGTTAGATTACCATTAACATCTTTTTCAAGTAAAATATCCAAATATGAAACAGATGTGTCAGACTCTTTGGTATATTTTATCTCAAGCTCACCGGGATATATCGTATGGACAATTGAATGGAAATAACCATTGCTAACTGACAATACATCGTCGATATATCTAAATGTCGAATTGAAGGCCATAACAAGTGGTTTCTTTTATCATGTAACAGATTTTGGACAATTTTTGCTTCGTATCAATACAAAAAGAGTACTGCTAATAACGGGCGCAATTGGAATTCTAATAGGTTGATGGAAGACCTGGTCTCCAAGATCAACAAAGATATTGTCAATAAGAAACTCAATCAGAGTACTTTTGTGTACAATCAGAATGTTTTTAACAAAATAATTTTGCAAATGACCAATGACAAGGTTAGTAAATTTACAAGTTCCATTTTGTTATTGAAAAAGCAACTGGATAAGGGACATATCAATAAAAGATAAAATACAATAAACATGTTTCCTCTCTCGTGTAGATTTTTTTGTCATAAATACTTGTATCTGTCACTAAATTGCTTAAAATATACAATAATGTATACATGTATACTAATATTTAAATATTGTAACCCTTACCCTTTTGGCAACATTAACTTGTAGTCTGGGATGGGCTGAAGATGGATTTGTTCAATGAAATTTGTGTAAACAGAATACAATTTCGATTGAGTTAAAACGTGAGAGATGAAAAATAAATAAGATAATGCGACATTGTTTAATCAAACGTTATGTCAAAACATTGTTCCATCTTTGAAAAAAGCTTTAGTTAGTAGAACATTTACTCAATATTGAGTGTATGTCAAATAAACCAAACAAATTACCTATTAGAATTGGATTGAAAGTTTATTTGTGGTTATTTGAGGTTCCCACTTATATATCACAATGTAAGTAGCTGAAACACAATAGTACATTCGACTTTAAAACCTTTCCAGTTTTCCTTTTATTCTTGGAAAGCTGTGCTGGAATCAGACGAGAGAGGAGGTATGGAATAATATTCCATGATATAGATGTATTATGTAAATAGTTTTTACATTGCAAATATGAACTTCACATTTTTCGTCCATAAGAAATTTTTTCTTAAATTCTGAAAGGAAAAAAGAACATAAAAACAGGAAATTGTTTCAAATTTATTCCGTTAATCATTGATGTGTTCGGCCAGACTGATAGAAGGTTAACCTTAAACATATTTTTTTCTTTTCAGAGTACGGCATGGAGTCCATGATAAGGCTATTTGGTATGATAAACTATCCCTAGGAAATATTTCTTAATTTCTTATTGAAATCGCGATCTGTTTCTATGGTTGTAGTTCAAACTTATTTTTCTTCGATCTCTCAAAGTTTATGAATCACTTTTCTCTTTGTCAGTCATAAACATTTGAATTTACCTTTTAAACGCAAAACCAAAACACACTTTTTTAAATTTTTTCTGATTGCATGGATATCGTTTTTTTCTTTTAATTCTAGGGGAAACATGTAACTAGTAGGGGAAAATCATAATCACTCAAAAACTGAAGGAGATCTTATATGTATAGAAATTGTAAGATATTATAAGATCCCGATTTACTCCTTGTTGGAATATAGTGCATGCAATCCCTACGAATATTTTTCCTTTCGCGGACAGTAGACTAACAATTCTTTTTATGTTGAATGTGAATTTGATATGTTTATTTCAAGTGAAGGACTAAATGTTTTCAAGTTGTTTATTTCTTTAGTTTTGTGTACAAAGAATATCATCAGAATTCTAGTTTATAATCGAGGTACTTGATAATATTTGTGAACTAAGTTCTCAAAAATATGAAGCATTTTTTTCTGGACACAATCAATGAAGACTTACATGTATAATCCTGCTGTACTTAGAATTATTCATCAGTACCTGCTTGACTTTTGCCAGAATATATTTTAAACTCATTTAATGCAATCATATGATATAATACCAATGTTTATATTTTTCAACAGCTGTATTTGCCATTGTGTTGAGCTTTTCACACATCGGAACACCTTGCCCTTGTTCTAACGGAGGCACTTGCCTTTACGATAAGTTTGGTGTAGGATATTGTGTCTGTACCGTAGGTTTTTATGGTGGACACTGTACGGATAGTAAGAACATAATTAATTACAGCAATATAAAGTCTGGAGAGTTTAAAGTAATTTCTCTTTTTACTATATTTTATCATTGATACTTGCCTGTATAATTACTTTCTTAAATTAACTAAATTAATTTGATCGGAGATGCTTTCTTTGGTTTAATATGTATCCCTTTCTCTTAAAATGTTTTTATGTTCGATAGCAAAACATTTACTGTATAATCTGAGAGATAAAACAATGATGAATTTTGAATTACTTTTTGAATATTTCAGATGCTTTGATCCCTCTAAAGAATTCAGTGGTTAATGATAATTTCACTCTACCACAAGCAGAAAAGTACATGAAAGATGCGCATGAAATTATTCAAGAGCATCTGTCAGCGAATTATCAGCTTTCAAAATCTATCGCAAGTATTCATCATATCTGATTGGAATGCCTTTATGATATTTTCAATGCATATATTATAGTGTACTTCTGCAGGAGTCCAAAAGTATGTAAACTTGCTTCGTTAAGAACTTGAATTTAGATAGATATCAAAATAACATATGTATTTTATATTTTACAATTTAATGTATAGATATAACTAATTTTTTTTATATATTGTTAGTATTATTTAGCATGCATTGGTACCTTAGTTGTTGAGGAAATGGACGAGAAGTTCCAAAGCATTCGATATGAGGACCTTCTGCCCCTAACGAAAGGTACCTTTTGTTTTAGATAAAATGCTCACTGCTACATAATTCACAATATGTAATCACGAAGTTGATTGTAATAAATAATAGCTTAAAGCAATTTCAAAAAATCTATAAACAAAAGAGTAATTTAGGAATCAAGGAAAATTATTGTAAAACACGACTGTTTAAACATGATAAATTATTATTATTATTGTTTAGCGCCAATATTGCGATTTGCCCGCCATGTTTTTGGCTGTTTAAACTTGCAATGGCGTCCATAGAAAGTAAACCAAGTAGTGGAATATTAATTCTTTATTGCAGAAATGGCGGCCAGTATAAGTTTTGTTATATCTATCCTGGATATAGAGGGATGCCAGTTACAATTACCAGTAGCTGATTGTAAAAACACGACAGAAAACGTAAGCTTACATTCTCAATATTTAAACTCAATTCAACGTCTTATTCTCTAAAGAAATTGTTTCAGGATTTTTGAAGATTGCAACCGAAAGCATGCTTTATCCTACTTGCAAATTTACAGCTTACATAGTTATTGTGCTTTATATTCTGCTATCACCTGCATATGATGTTAACATCTTCAAACCTAATCGATACTCGAGAGGGCATGCCATGCTCAGAGTACAGTTAGTTCTTAAATTGAGACAGTTACTGATAGGTTACTGATAAATTGATGTAACAGGAATTTCAAACACCTCATTTTATCTCAGCATTCGTAAACTCTATTGTCATTGTTGTAATATCATTATTAGCAAATATCAATAGGTAGTATTTTGAATGATCAATCTACCAGATTATGCAATGCATAGGACTCATATAGCGCACGGCGGGTTTGACCCCTCCAAAGCACCGGATGCCACCTTTGGAACTTCAAAGGTTCCGTGTTCATGCCCTCTACACTGATTTATATTTTATTAAGAGATGATACGTTGATATGTATGAAATTGTTCAATAATTTCATTTTTGATAATCTTTGAAAACAATTAAAAAAGACATTGAGAAGTATTCATTTGAATGTTTTAAAGTGCACCTATTTAATCGAAAGAACTGAGGCTAACCTTGTTAAAGTGACAAACTTATACCTTGGATCTGCTTATGGAGAGGGGGATTTTATTACCATCGACGAGCGCCCAGATGATCCAATACTATCCCTAACCGTCATAAAAACATCTGGAAGAAAGGCACCTTTTCTCTATCAGGCCCGATATGGATCACTGGAGTTACCTTACTGGGGCACCCTCCAAAACCACATTGGTTATAGTCTGATAGCCATCAATGTAATTCAAATCTTATTACAAAATCTGAAATCTTTGATACATTATCTGTAAATACAATGAATTACTCAATTTCATTAAAAACAAGCATTTATGATTCCAGATATAACCATTTTGTCTTAAATATATCAGGTACTGACATACAAAAGTAATCCTTACAAATATTCTGCAAATGCTGCAAACATCACGTCCTCTGTTGTGAGAATTGTTATAACTGACAGAAGAGGAAATGACGTCAGACTGTATGATCTACAGGATCAGTTAACGACTACAATGGACCTCAGTCAGGTGCGTTACCGTTATGATAAATTTTGATTTACCCTTAATTTTGCTTTGTCTATCATGTGTTTATTCGTTCAATTTTAAAAGAATTCACGAAGTTACTTTTAGCAAACAGTCATTTAAAAATACTGGCCCCTTCAACTGATTTAATTATAACATAGTGCCAATTTTAAAAAAAATGGAATTTACAAAAAAGAATTAAACATACATTACAATGCTGTATGCATTGTTACATGGCTATCCAACAATTTTCAGGTCTTGTCTGGAAATACTGAATGGATAGACATGAATCACAACGGAGAGGAATGGAAACTTGTGGCACATACAAATTTATCAGTGGAGGCAATGGTCGTCGATATAAAGCTGAAAAGTCGGTACGACTGTACTCTCTATGGGCTGTTTGGTTGGACGGGGTATCCATCACGTAGATCGTATAATATCAAGGTGGTCACCCGAGGTGACAACAAGATTGTTAGGAAGAGCCCGTGGAGTCTACCTTTATTCTACAAAGACAGCGAACTTCAAATTACAATCTATAACACTGAATTTATCGATGGAGGGTATATACCTCCCTTGTTGATGACCGTGAAATGTCAAGGTAAGAATGTTTATATTCCTAACTCCTAGACTTTGAATGATTTGCTTAAAGATAAAAATCACTTTTGGAGAAAGCAATACAGAACCGTCAATTGTTTGCAGTTTTCTGATTAATAAGTCATATTGGTGAATGTAAAAATATAAAGTCATTTCTTGTGATAAGTCGAAAATAAGAGAATCATTTCATTTACTCGTAAGTGTCACTGCTTTTCAGCTCCCAGAATTTCAGATGGATATATCTTAATAGTAAAAGTGTGGTGACATATCAATTTCTTTGATGAATTTCATGGTCAGTTATGATCATTGTAGGTATAAAAAGAGTAACATACGCATTGATATCCTTTTTCAGACGACGATTTCTCAAGAACTTCACGTAAGTAAGATGTATCTGATGCATGTAAGTAGTGCTTTTGATAAATACAAACTATGCTAGATGAATGCTTAAATAACTTTCAAAAGGACATGATCTAAAAATAATTGAAACATCTATTATATTTTATGTAAATTATATTTTCACAGACTTCCACTGTTTATTTATTTTGTTTGTTGAGATCTGTCACTTTTCGTTATCTGTTCGTTATCTTCCCTTTTACATTATTGTTAACACCTGTTCAGAAATCCACCAGTACCGGGTCTTGGATCTGGAATCTTACTACCTGGAGAATGACGACTGGAGCAAAAGTAATAAAGCAAGGGTAGGTGTCGCCTTTTTTCGTTATCTTACTCAACTTAGCTTAAATGAAATATATTCATGTATTTAAAATAATTTAAAATAATAAAAGTGAAAATTATTAAGAAACTTATTTATAATATAGTAATGATTTATGAGATATAGTCCGATGTTCAGTTTTTTAAAATGTATTTTGAGTTAATGTATATTACGGAAGTCATTTCCCTTATTCAAAAGATATGAGAAATTGAAAATAATGTTAAAATGCTTGAAATGGTCAAACTGCAAGTCATAGTCATGGGGGTAAAAAGTCGTAGCTTATTTTGAAAGGTCTTGTCAAACGCAATATACATGTGAAATATGAAACCATATCGTGACAAAATTACAGACAGACAGACTGACAGACGAATGGGATTGAATGTGATTTGTAGACTTGATTTCGCAAAAGCGGGAACAAAAAATTATTCCCTAGAAAATACAGTTAATGCTCATCAAAGTATTTGCCCCCCCCCCCCAAAAAAAAAAGAAAGAAAGAAAAGAAAAGAAAAAAATCTTTTGAAACAAAATAAGTAAGAAATGTTCATCTGTTTCCTTTGTAACAGATCTGGAAGATGTTTTCTCAAACGTATACTTGTATTTCATTTTCTATAAGAGTAATAGAATATCTAATTTGATGTTTTTTGACAGGTATATAGTGTACAGGGGACGAATGTTGTGATCAAAAACTCTTTTTTCGGGACTTTTGCTGCCAACTCTTTATTTATCCCTCCAAGCCCAATCGATTTTGATAAAATCTTCGAGAACTTCCTAGAGAGGCTGACCAGCACTCCTCATGTTTTAGTGGCGATTATCATTGTACTGCTGGTAACTATACCGGTCAATGTATTCCTCCGCCGGGCAGATAAAGAGGACCATTACAGGGTAATTATTAAAAAAATCAACTGTACGATATCGGTTATTGTTAAATTAAAATACGAAAATAAAAGATTTTTTTCATTAACTTTTTGATTTTTTTCTTTAATCATGCAAAAATCTTGTCATATCAAATAATACCTGGTACTTTACCAAAGGATTCTAGAAGCAAGTTTACTGGAACTTATTAAACTTTTTCAGTGGCTATACCTTCCTCTTATTGATAACGGTGAGGGAGAAACCTGTATGTATTTCCTCTCCATTTATACGGCGGTGCGATCGTCGCGGTTCCTGACGTCACACTGTTATTTTAATCTTAAAGGCGAAAGTTCAACAACAGGCGACAGAATTCTAAGTGATGGGTGTCGGCAAGTATGAATTTGACTGTATTTAGCTATAATATATACATGGGTAATTTCAAATTTGCCGACAGTACTGTTTATACTTTTAAATAAATTTACATTTTCTTGAAACCTAAAACATATTAAATTATTATTATATTCTGTTCTATCATTAAGTTGATATTAAGCTATTTTGTTTATAGTTGTTTTGTTTCTGTTTGTTATTTATTTACCTTCAGAACTTTACACGTGGTACATGTTGCAATTTTCTTCTGACAACAAAGCAAGAATTGGGACAGCTACAGAAGATCACAGTTTGGCATGACAACAAGGGAAATAATCCTAATTGGTTGTTGTCTAAAATCGTGATAGAGGATGCACTTACACGTGAAAAGTAAATCTTTTTTCTCAATCCAATAAAATAATAAATTCTACAAAATAGAGCAGGTGTCCTAAAACTGATTCCTATTCCATCTGTTTACATATACGTTCACAATATAATCACTAATAATCAGTTAATTTTTATTCATTAACCAGGTACATATTTATTTGCGAAGAATGGCTTTCCTTTGCTCACGATAGCAAGACCTGGATGGAGTTATCACCCTTGACCCAGGATCACGTGAACGGAAGTCTCGTTTTCAATGAGAGTAGTCGACGCGGATTCTTTGATGACCATTTATGGTTTTCACTCACGATGAGACCTAATGCTAGTAAATTTACCCGTGTTCAAAGATTATGGTGTCTTGTTGCTCTACTGTTTCTCTCCATGGTGACGTCAGCCATGTGGTTCAAAAGTAACCCTTCATCGTCCATTGATGAGGTTAATCAAATGAAGCTCGTCAGCCTTGGTCCGTTTACATTCAGCTATCGAATGCTATATGTGGGGTTCTGCTCGTCATTAATTACTTTCTTACCATCATTTGCATTTGTATTTATTTTCAATAAGAGAAAACTTCGTGTGAGAAAGCCGACTGAACAGTATGTATATCAAAAGCCAAGTCCTGATCACCAGAAATGCCAGTTACCTTGGTGGACAATAATCGTAGCCTATTGTTTGATCGGATTGTCAATTCTAGCAGGCGGGGCATTCACATTTTTCTACTCTTTAGAGTTTGGCACTGAAACGACAAATGATTGGCTTATGGCGTTCGTCTTTGGTACACTTCAGAATATATTTCTACTAGAACCTTGTAAGGTACGCTCACTTGAAGGTTATACTACTAAGTCGAGTAGGTTATATGTACATATAAAAAGAAAATGAAATGATTTGTAAACTTATATTCAGTAAAACACACTTATAGCGAACACACTTATAATGAATTGACGCTTACAACAGTCTAAGACCTGACATTTTACAATTTACTAGTATGTATTCAAATCCAATTATACTTCTCTTTTTCAATTGAAGGGAAGGGAACATTAAAAATACTATATTTTTCAGGTTTTCATATTGGCTGTAGGATTAAGCTGTATTTGTTCTTCATCTTTACATCAACTTGAGAACACGGAAAGCATCTCCAATCCCACTAATGGTAGAATCAATGTAAAAAAGGTGTTGATAAATGGACGAAAGCTAATATGATTAAAAATATAAAGTTATCATATTTTCATTCACGCTTTGATGCGTTATTTGTAGGTGAAAATGTGACAATATACGAAGAGAAAAAAGAAATAAAACTATTTCCTTGTCCTCAAAACCAAGAGTCAAAGGAAATCGAGGATAGAAAAAATCGTCAAAAACTGGATTTTCAATTAACACAGCATCTCCGAGCATGGTTGTTGGTAGCTAGTCACGTGACATTGGTGGCAGTCATTTGCAATCATAATGATATTACGGATTCCTTTTGGCAAAATGAACATATTAAAAGAGCAATAAATTCGTCTTTTAACGTAAGTATTATTGTACCAAAGTAAATTTTAATCTTATCATAACTTTCTTTATATTATCTTTATTCAAATATAAAATCTAATAATAATTCATCATACACAATACATTACTTTTTTCATATGCATGGAAATAAATTTTGGAAGAATTAATAGTCTAAATTTGTTATTTTCTTTCGCCAAGTCAGATTATAAGGAAAAACATGCATATATAATATATTTTATGATTTTCTAAGGGGAATACAACGGATGATATATTCACCTGGTTTGATACTTACTTTATACCTTCAATATGGCCAACACACGCTTTGAATGGAGATACAAAGCTTGCTTACGAACAGAGATTTCTGATGGATGAGTACCATTATAGAGTGTCGTTAACACAGATAAGACAAGTCAGGAAAATGGGTGAACACAATCAACTCATCTTAAACTTTTACTCAAATCCAACTATCAAGGGTTCTGTGGACTTTTCTGGTCAAAGTTTGCTTTGGGTTCTTACGTCTTCCTCTATCTATTAAGTCAAACCTGGCACCATGTTAAAGAAATTACTAGTTAAACTTTTTTAATTTATAAAAAAAATATCTATTTTGGATAGTTAAAAATTCAATAGTTTGATTTCTTAGAGACAGAAGATCTTGTTTAGAACTATATTTTTTAAGTTGAACATATGGGTCAGAAGTAAACATGGGAATATACTCAGTAAGTACATGTGATAAATATCCTTAAATATCAGCATTTTAATTGTATGAACGTTTGAGGGTTGGGGTTCATTTGCATGGGATTTTATGTTTTTTAGCGAAAAAACAAGAAACACCACAGATAAATGCGCAAGCATCCCCATTCTTAAGTTTTGATCGCACGTTTGCCCTGGTCATGGCTCCTAGCCCTAAAAGGAAACCAAGATAAATGTCAAAGTATTTACTAATATACTTAAAGTCTAAGCTTTTCTTTATAGCTATGTACATTAAGGAATTCGACATATTACACTATATCACATTAGAATGCTAGCTAAAACATGTGGATCTCATTTTTCATATCTTTGTTATTTGTTTCATACTAAAAAGCTTATGCTGTGTATATATATTTTATCAAGAAAACTGCACTGAAGCTATTCCGGGAATAATGAATCCGGTGGAAACTGTGTGTTATTCAGAATTTTATTTCCTTGATTCAACAAATGAAAATTTCTGTAAAGGTAAGTTTAGATTTTCTGGTTCTGCGATATCCTTCTGATTCGAAACATCTGACAATGGATAAAAATACAGTCAGTCCTTAAGTTATGAAAAATTGCTTTGTCGAATTTTCAATTGTCAGAATTGAAATTAACTTTGAAGTACACGTACATATGTATATTACTTCACAGTTCCTTGGTACCCTCCCTACTTTGTTAACTGGACAGATATGACTGAAAATAGCACATATTTATTTGTCTGAACAATTTTTTTTTTAGAATTTCTGAGGGCCACAAAAGACCCTAAGTGGCTCTTGCTCTTTGTTCCATAGGAAGATGATTGTTTCGGAATCAACATCTCAAATATTAGATAGCAAAAACTTGTGTTTGGAAAATTATTGCATTCAGTTCATAATTATGCAGGTTTTCAATATTTATACATGAAGAATTTTTTAGGGACTGAAAATTTACCTTTGGATATTATATCCCAAGCTGACAGTTTGTACCAATCTCTTAAGGAAATTCCGTTCCTCATTGATATTCATCTAAATAATTGATACAGGGTGGTTATCTCTTTAAACTAAAAATACATTATGTAGATTAATTATCCTCATTTTGACAAATGCTTACTTTCTACATGAAATCAAACTGGATGAGAAGAAACGGGTGTCTATTTTGTGTAGTTACTCTAAGTGAATGGGTATTGGTGGATTACCGAACTTAAAAATAATTTATCTCCACGGTCTCATTGAATATTCAAATTTTTTAAAATCTATTTTTCAGTGAACTTGAACTTCACATATCCATAAATTAGTGAAAACGTGTCATTGATATTTTGCAGACTGGACACCTGATAACGGTTCTTGCTTTGACGATAACGAGGCTATTGACATTAGCTTCCGGTTCCGGACATCAGATGAGTTGAAAACACTACCATATGTTGGTGTGTTTTCTGTATACGGTGGAGGGGGATACAAAATCGATATTGGTCCAAAACAATCATTGGCCATGGATTACCTATCACAGCTGAAGTCTCTTAATTGGATAGATCTTTATACGAGAGCTGTGTTCGTAGACACATTTCTGTTTAATGCTAACACAAGACTATTTACTAACATCAAAGTTGTGTTCGAAATATCTGAGTTTGGTTCAATGGAAATGAAAACAAATACATATTCATTCAACATGTTTCCATATATCACACCGTGGGATTACTGTGTGTTGATCTTTCAGTTACTTTTTATTATAATTGTTGCTGCTAGATTCGTATTCCTCGTAGTAAATATTGTAAAACTTCGCTTAAAATCGTTTTCGTATTTTGCAACGTATTTACGAATGGCAGAGATTGTCCTTTCCGTCTCTGCTGTTATACTTTATATTCTCAGGATTGACCAGACCTTACAAGGCGTTACAGATGTTGGAAACTATCTAGGTAACTCCCCTTAGAGAAATCATGACATGGTCGTAATTAATTGACTATATTCCTCACAAAAATGTTCCAATTCAATGAAGCTGTGCTGGAGTTATCTCTAAGAAATAACGAACATGTTCATTGTCACTTCTAGTACCATTCTATATCAGATTTATTCGAGATTAGTAATTTTCAGACAAAGATGGTGGTGGTATATTTCCTCTTCCTTTTTTAATTTTTATGTTGCTCTCATCAAAAAGATTGGGGTATATAGTTTTTTGTTCTGTCCATCCGTCTGTCTGTCTGCAAAAATATAATAACATTGTCATTACTTTTGATTTGTTTGTGCAATGGCTTTGTATTATATTTGAATTTCTTATGATGTAGCCTTTATTTATGTATCAACATACTTTTAACTCATACCCATTTTGCCAAAAGTTAACCATGCTTTTATTTTGGTCAAATTTTGTTTGGTCATTTTGACAACACTACATAGTTTTTTTTTTAAACTATGACCAGGAGTTTCTCTACTGTTGAAATATCTTTTCCCTTTGAATAGTTTTTAATATTTTTTTTATATTTCACAATTATTTTTCTTGAACCAAGACCCGCGTGGCACAGTGGTTAGAGTGTCTGCTTAGGAGTCCCGAGAAAAATTGATCTTTATGTCGCAGGTTCAAATCCCACTGTGGAACATGGAGACCAGTCCTGCGGATGAGACTATAAACCGAGGTCTTGTGTCGCAGTATGTGTTGGCACGAAAAAGATACCTCACTGCCCAATGGTCGTAAGTGCCGAGTATAGGACAAAATTTGCATCTCTCCACAGGCAATTAAGTGGTAGCGTCTCCATATGAGTGAAAAAAGTATCGAGAGGGACGTTAAACGACATATAATCAATCAATCAATCTTGTGACAAGATCTTCCCTTTGTTATTCTTACTTTTTGTCCTTTGAGCTTGACCCACATATATGAAAACAATAATCTGAGTCATAACCTTTGAACGAATGGTGTTAGGGTTTTCATATTTCACAGGCATATTTCGGCTTGCATATTTCACGTGAATATTTCTTGTGATTAGTCTTTTGCTTTGGATAAGAAAAATTTTTGATTTCCTGACCTTGACCTTGGAAATTTGCTTGCAGTCGAAAAGAATATTATTATTTGCCATGAGTAGCCATTGGGTGGCATCGGTGTTTCACAAACACAGCTTGTTTTTCACAGTGAAGTTAATAGTTATCGCTATGTTGATGGAATATTGTTAAAAATTCGTTGCATCTTTCATTCAAAATGACATTTTAGTAGCCAATTTTCTTACTTTTATGAATGCAAAATATCATGCTTGTCAACTTTCTTTGTAGAATCACACGTTTCTTTTGAGTTTGCCATGATGTACGACCAACTTTACCAAGAGGCGCTGGCAGTTGTGATGTTTATAGTGTCCCTGGATTTGTTAAAACCTCTTACCTTTAACTCCCACCTACACATTCTATACTCATCCCTTAGCAATGGAAGAAAGGAACTCTTATCTTATATGTTGCTCTTTATGATAGCAATATCAGCTTTTGCCTCCTATCTACACATTACCACTGGGTATTTGGTGTACGATTTCCGCAATCCATTTACAGCCATTTTGACCCTGATGCAAATTCTGTTATCGATGATTTCTTTGAAGAAACACCCGGAGATATCGTCTCTTCAAGCTCAAATTGTTATCTCCATATTCGCTTTTGTAATGACGCTTGTTTTTCTTAACTTCTTTATCTCTGTGCTTAACTTTTACTTTTCGGAGGGAAAAGAAAACTTAGAAAAATCTAGCCAGTTTCTTAAACATCTGAATGACCATTTTTGGTGGAGATGCAACCGCTTTAGTAAGGAGTTTTGGAGAACGATTTCATGCCAGAAATTGCAGACACAAGGTATATTTCTTTACTGAATTGGAATTTAAACCGTTCATAAGATACATAAATTATTTGCATACAATTTTTCATTACTTGCAGATGACCAGATCGAAGAATTGCTCCGTCTTTTGAAATCCGTAAGAATTTTATTTATTCTGAACCCTCATTTAGATTACTCAAAACATTAAAGAAAATATGATCCCTCTTGGCTCAATTCAGCCAGATTTCAAAATTTGTCCAACTGAAGCTTATGTGTATATGTTTGATCATATTTTCTACAGGTCATTTACATACCATAAATACGTAATTCATATTTACCAGCAATTTTACGTTTATTTGAATAAGAAATGTCGAAAGAAATCTTGATTTATCTTTATAATGTAAATCATGTATCATCAAAACTCGTAGGATTCACTAATAGTTTATGAACTAACATAAAATGCATTTGGGTTTATATTATATTTGAAGTACTAATATAAGATAATTGAGAATGGACAATAGAAAATGGTTATATTTTATCTAAACGTGCAGAAAATGTCCGCATTATTGTTGTTTACTTGGTAGAAATCTAGAGAGAAGATGCTTCAAGACATGGATGTTTGCAAGAACATGATTGTAAAACTTTTGCGGGAATTACAAGAATTTCATTCGACAGCACCAAATACCTGCGCTTCCATATATGAGTCTAACACTCAATCTCTAATGGATTGTCTTATTATCCATATGCCTAACAGGATAGAATGCAGGTAAAAATAATCAAGGCTTGCCATTTCAAAATTTATAATTTGTAATAATCAGTCATATATTTTCAAAATTGTTCGTGATTCTTAACTGCTAATATCCTGTGCTCATAACTTAATAAAGGTACAGTGAACAACATGCAGTAGCTATCAGGTGACCATAAGGATTCATAGGCTTATTGAATGTTTACTCCTTTTTTATTGATGGGAAATTTAGGGAAAAAATATGACCTTATCATGATATCACGATAGTTATAGACCCAGTGTGGGTAAAATTTCATTTGACATTTTTTTTAAATTTGTTTTTTTAATAATACATGCCCTATACATTAAGTATGCACACTCTTGATTAAAATGAATAGACCTTCTAAAAAGAATTGATTTCTGTTGATTTCAGATTTAGACACCAGGACAGGGGCTACATTTATATTAAACATGGAAAATGCATGCCGCATTACATGTTTTTAAATATCATTCCTTGTTGCTGGACATCTAGTAGGAATATAGATTAAGTTTATCTATAAAATTAGGCACATAGTTCTATACTAAAATTATATAAATAAAAAATAAACACAAAGCCCTGGATCTATAGTCTAGGCGTCCGAGTGTTGCCAGTCGGCCAGTTATAGAAAATATATTACACTTAATAAAAACCTTTAATATTTAACAAGCGAACTATTTGCATGGTTATAGTAAGAAACAATCCCATAAATAAAATTGGAAAAATTCAGTTTCAAAAAATCTTGATACATTTGAAAATAAGTTCAAGGTTGCAATTTCATATTGGTCCGATCTTTATACAACTCAGTACCAAAGGGTCTTTTCTTAATAATACAATGACTAAGTCTCTTCAAATGAAATTGGTTGCAAACGCTGGACTTATCTCTCTTGGTACAGACACGAAAAGTCAATTCAACCATAGCGAAAAAATTGCATGAGCTGCTTATATTTCTTATACCATAACTACAAAGTTATTGAAAGTTTTTCATCATATAGAGAATATACTTGGGAAAAAATTGATATATTAATTTTACTTACTAAACATGTTGACAGAGAGAAAGAGGAAATGAGTGAGTGGTCTTTTTTTCTTTTATTAGACGGATTAAACTTTATAACTTTCAGCTATTAATTTCCTTCTTTTAAAGGAAAAGTATTCGAAATTTTATTGAAAACTGTTCCGATATATATTATAAATGAAAGATATGGAGATAACGAACAGTATTTACGATCAAAAATCCATAAAACAATACAAAATAGGAGCAGCGCAAACACGGGCCTCCAAAACATCACAGGTGGGTTCAGGTGCCATGGAGGAGTGAGCATCCCCTGATGAAGTTGTGAGAATATGCGTTGTCAAATTACTTTTATTAAGGGCATAAGGTTAGTTACGTATTGCAAAAATAATCAAACGTTCTAAACCTATTCCAGATTTTACAGCATTTTGGACGACGGAATGAAATTTACAATTGCCGTTCCGCCTGTTGCTTACTCTTTGGTGCCGGATCTTATCTGCTACGAGAATAATGTTGATTTATTTGTTGATCGTCTTCCAACTGCCAATACTAAATTGTCGTCAGGGATATATGAAATAAAACAATCAAAACCATACGGTCTAGAGGTATGGACAATGACTAAAACAAATGGTCCAAATATGTTCAATTATCTCAATGGAATTGATACTTATCCCTTTAAATCAATGTATTTACATTTACTCTTTACACATTTCCATCGTTTGTGACTTTGATCCATCTCTGTGAACTTTGATATTGTTGTTAATTGTTTTGTTGTATGGTCATCAATTACATTACACAGACGATATTGATTGTAAAACAGTAATCATTGTTATCTTTTGACAGGTACTCTACTGCTTAGAATTACCAATACGTGGATGCAAAGAGCACCAGTCTATTTTGTGTAGCTTCGACAACGGCCAAAACTGGTCGATCTTGACATTAGAAAAGGTGCGGTAATTCCAGAATTTAGTTCTCTCATTAATTAAGTCATATAATGTTAATTTGGGGATCAACTTCTGCACAATATATGTATTGATATCATAAATCATGTACATAGATATCATAATATGTCAAAGTTATTTGTTCTATTCATAGAGCATTGTTCCATGGCCACTTGATTGTTATTAAAAATATGTTTGTGGAATATTAATAAAATTTATTTTATCGACAGAAGACATCTTCCTTTCAAAGGATATTTGAGGACCTACCTTCCCATTTTGCAATGACTGAGTGATATTGGATGAGATTGTGTTGCTGGAGAAATATTAACCAAATGAATATAACTATGAGAGAAAAGCCTGCAAATTATTCAATTTTACTTTATGTAATGTAACTTCAACTACTAACCTAAAAATCAAAAGATTATTTCTCGTATCGTGGTACTTGAAGATTTTGATTTTATTAATTATGAAATTGATAGGAAACAAGACATCTACTTCCCCTTGCACGCACATTTCTACATTCAATATAAGTTGCTTGCATTATATTCTAATGTTCATCTTAATTTAATAAGGGAATATAAATATTTCTACTTCACTCCATACCTTTATATAATTATTGATAAACTAGAAATATCTATATTCATTAACCAAGATACTTGTGTATTACAATTCATTTGGGATAAGTGTACCTAATGAATATTTACTTACTGATATTGTTGTTTGTATAGTTTAAAATACAAGTAAAGTTTTTTTGACGCCATAAAATGATTAAAGCGAAATCTAAACAATGGATGAGTTCTAGTTTGGTCGCATTGTCCTGAGAGCGAGTTGTCTAAGGGAATATGCATGCGCAAACCCACCTTGCATATATATATTTTCTGTGTGCACCTCAAGATTTCACGCAATAAAATAGGAGTGAAATATATAGAGACAACGAACAGTATTCAAGATCAAAAGTCCATAAGGCAATACAAAATAGGAGCAGAGCAAAGACGGACCCCAAGAACATCGGAGGTGCGACCAGGTGCTCATCTTCTTTTGCTAAAGAAAGTGCAAAACGTTTTACTGTGCTTATTTAAAAACGTTTTATTTTTTTCTCTGAGGATCAAGAGAAATGCCTTAAAGTCATTACTTTTGCATTCACCCTTGTTACCAAAAGATGCAATTCCATGAAATATATACTTAAAAATACTGACCAGTCAGAAAAAAATGCAAAATAATAGACACCAGTCAATATATATTTGGATCGATTTTAATAAAAAAAAAATTTAATTTATCTTGATTCTTTTTGTATTGGTTTTGGTCACGTGTAACTTTTACCGAGATGTAAACCATACGCATACAACATTATTTCTTCTCTACCAAGTACATAAAGCTTCACCTCCATTACCTGGTAAATGGACATTTATTAATATTTGATTGGTCGGAATATTTACGACAGATCCATCTTTTATGTTTATTTGCAGCACTAACCCTCCTTAAAGTTACGTGAAAATCCTGTCAATAGTGATGAAGTGTTAATACGTCCGAACATTGTTTCTAATTCATGAACAATGTACTTGAAATTAACAGTTGTTGGCCTGGTATTTAGGAACACCAGATGTACTTTGAACTTAATTAAGAAACTTTCGAATTTTGAATGTAATTGTTAATATAATGGTTACCTATGCATTTTAATTCCAGAATAATGCTATTATTGCACAATACTAATATACTAGCTAAATAGAAAATAGAATTTTTTTCTTATAACCAGTAAACTTCTTTCATAGAGCTCCTTAAGAAATCGACTTTCTGGCACATTCGTCAAATAAATTATTCATAATTTGGATTTGAAGTTAAAAATTGATTCATATATAGATCCTTTTTTTCCCCTATAAATCGATTCTGCACGAAGAAATTGCTTTAATGCTTTTGTTTTCATGTTTAAACAATTACAACTCAATAAGAGAAATTGTTTATACTATTTAACAACAAATAAAAGGTTAGTTTTTATTTGCTTACCAGGTATTGTGTAATGGTCAGGGCATTCACTTTTTTTACGCAACACTCGTGTAGAGGAATGTGATTCAAAAAGAAAATTCATTTGAAGTTATTAAAAAAAGAATATTTGTTTGACAATCTTATGATTTTATATATTGTATGTTGCCTATCTTATTCTAAGTTGAAACGATTTGTTTGGCGAACAAAGGAATCTGATCAACTCTTTAATTAAATTAAAATGTATATAAATTTCTATAAATCATTTGTAATAATGTAACTACGTTCACACTCCACATTTTACGCTCTTACACCACAACATTGGCATTGACATTTGAGTTTAGCCCAAGGATTCCTAATATTCAGTATGAAACATGAGATAATGAATACGTAGTACTCAAGATCAAAAGTCCACAAAACAATACAAAATAGGAGCAGAGCAAACACTGACCTCAAAAACATCAAAGGTGGGATCAGGTGCCATGGAGGAGTGAGCATCCCCTGCCGACAGGTCACACGCGCCGTGAGCTCTTTGTCATGATCGGGAAATAACGGGAAAACCCGTTGTCATTCAGTGTATGGACACTTAGTATGAAAAACACCAGTATTTGACTCAATGATGAATTGTATTTGCGGACAAGGCCATTGTATCGACCATAGAACTTACGAAATGATGACTCTAAACGAGACTGCTGATAGTCTAATTTCATCAACTTGTTTGTCAGTAATCGTTCTAGAAATTGTCATACGTAAAGCATGCTCTTGCGTATCGAATCCATTGAAATATATAAACTATATTTAATCAATTTACATGGACAAATATTGTTCTTGTTAAGAATATAATTATATAATCAGTAAATTTCTAAATTCTTTATCGAAATTTAACTTCATATATGTTGAAGTAGTTTCAAAAGACTTCTAGATATTGGTCAAATAAAATTACCGGATCTCTAGTATTTATAACTAAATATTTATTTTCAAACGAACGACAAAATCTTTTTTGGAAAGGCTCACGAGTACTATTCTTTGATATATCAATATAAAATCGATTTGTTGTTTTCCTTTCGAATTAGTATTCATCTGATAAATTTGAATTGAGCGTTGCCATATTAATTGTAGTTCAACACAGCCTATAATTAATAGATGTGATACATTCTTAACAAGTTAGATCGTTAACCATCCTCCATTGTATCAACACAGAGCATTTCTCCAATACTTCTGCAATGATTCTGTTATTAATGGTAAGTATTTTTATGCATCCCTGTTCAAACTAAGCTCAAAATTATAAGGATTTTTTGAAGAGTACATTATGATTTAAGGAAAATACGAAGAAAAAATTCCTTAAAAACTATTTTCGCTATATTAAAGTTCCACATTATTTTTTGATTTATATTTAAAAAAAATTAAAAAAAATGTTTAATACATTCTTTAAAGCAATTCTGGAAAAAGTATTAAAATTCTAAGCTAAACAGATCTAAGCTGTCAGACTTCATAAGCAAAAAAAAAAAAAAAACCTAGAAAACATTGATGCTGACATCGACATACGCCGTTATATATGTAAAGAAATTCTGATTATTTATTTAGTTTGACTGTTATCAATGTCAAGAAAACGATAAAGATAATTTGTGTGTTTCAGAATTCAAAACTGGTAATATCAATAATACATGTATCAATAATATGAAAAGAAAAAATAAGGAAAAGATACGGGAATGATCTATCATTTTTATTATTAATATATTTTTCAAAATTGTTTTTACACATTGAAATAAAAAAAATACGACACTGCCTATTAAATGACATTTTAAATTCAAATCTTATCAAGCAAATCTGAGTGTAAAAAAAATGAAATCTGATCGTGTTAATCGCAATTTATACTAGAAACAATATTTTTTTAACAGGTCGGAGAGAATACTCGAAATCGGGTATTATCTGTGAAATCGCGTATAATACCCGATATTAGGGTATCGTTGAATCCGCGAAATCGGGTATAGGAGGCGTAATCACCTAATAAAACTTAAACGATGGGATGGCGCATGTTGCCGAGCTAACTTTCATCTAGATACACATATTTTCTATAGGTATCACTAGCCAAGTAAGAATTTGGGCGCCAAGATTAATGCGCTCAGGACAACAAATACCCGTGGAGCTCAGTACATTTCATGATCATAACACAAAAAGGCATTCGATTTGCTTTATATTTTTCCTTATGTTGAAAGTATATGCATCTTCCTAAAGTTCATTCCCAACACAACAGAATTGTAAAGTATCAGAATTCGGGAATTTATAATAATTCAACATCAACACGACAAACATGAACAATTTAAATAAAGAAATCAAATTATACGGAAACACATTTCACACACAAGATATGATGCCATGTATAAACAAGGAATTGTCTATAGTATCTAATTAAGCGTCATTAATTACTTTCACATTCATCTTGTGCATAAAATCAAATTTATTTATGAATGTATAAATAATGTAATGATAAAAATGTCTAAAATTTCGGCCAAAAAAATCCTCTTTCTCTCTCTTTTTTTTTGAAAATCTTTTTTTTTATCATTCATACATATTTGCAGAATATGTCTTTAACATTTTAGCAGAGACAGTGATAGTTTCAGGAATACAGCTTATGAGAGAACATAACTGTTGATCGTTTAATTTCGCTAAGTCATCAATATTTTACCAACCATTTCTTGGCGACTTCAAGGGGGGGGGGGGGGCTAAAGGCTTCTTGACCACCTCTGACTAAACAACCTCAACTGTGTTCTACATGTGTCCAAGAAACCTCTCTTTGAATGTCACTGTAATATATCTTTAATTGTAGGGAAGATTTATTCATCAAATAAAAATCATATAGGTAAACAAAAAGCAACCTGTTATTTTCTAACACAATATGAGACTACAAGTAACTAGAATTCATCTTTATTTTTTTAACACATTTTTTCATTATAGATGAGTATTAGGAAAAGCTATTGCCATGAGTAATAAGTATCATAGATATAATAACTAAAAGAAAACTGTGACATATTGTCTAGAACCAATCAGATAGTGCGTTGTATTAGCATATTATAATGAGGTAGAAGATAGCGTTCTCAATTTACACACAAATGCATAAAATAAAGGTAAAATAGCATATATCTTGTATCGATTATATTAGCATATTATAATGAGGTATAAGATAGCGCTCTCAATTTACACACAAATGCATAAAATAAAGGTAAAATAGCATATCTTGTATCGATTAAATGCAACCAAAAAATTTACGGTGTCTTTGAATAAAATTTCCATGCTAAATTGACATAAAAAAGATGCTCACCTCCAATTAGCTATTTTCAACCTGTTTTCCCGTGGGTATTTTTTTAATCTTATTTTATTTTCTTCTTTATAATAACGTTGGTATTCCATTATGGCAGAGATATACAATTATGACTTGCTTATATTGTACTCTGTAACTGTTAGGAATAATTTATATTTCACGTGAAAGGAAACCCATACATTTTTCAGTAAAAATACATAACACGGCGTTAGTCGTTTAATTTCTTTAAAATTTCACATTTTGTGAATAGTGCACAAATAAGAAAATTAAGTATATGGAATACTTTAATGGGAAATAAAGACAAACGAAGTTTAGTTTTTAGAAATTATATTGAAAAATGATAACGCCATCGTGTCCTCTTTGTCATCCCAGCAGTGTTTGTCGTGTGATTTTAAACTTATTTGACAACCGTATGAATTAGGTTTAATAAAAATAAATCCACAAGATACTGATGTACAAGTAACAGTAACTGGCATAATGCGCCGTTGCTTTATTCTTTAGTTTTTAATAGAAAGTTGCACGGAATACCCGATTTCGCGGGTTGAACGATACCCTAATATCGGGTATTATACGCGATTTCACTGATAATACCAGATTTCGAGTATTCTCTCCGACTTGTTTAAAGCAATAGTTACAAGAATATTTCAACTGAAGAGATAAAAAGAGTAGCTGGCTGGTTTTGCATGGTCAAATGAGTTCTCTTGCTACATATTTTCTACTCTTTTTTATATAATCATTATTATAATTTCCAATTCTATTCAATAGCAGCATGCACAGGCACTTGTTTCGGAAATAAAATCTAACCCATAGTACCGTTTTATGGTTTAGTTCGACTTTTCAACTCGGCGAGCAGGGTTTTGACGCTGTTTACAAAGATAAACGAAAACAAAGACATGCATGTCGCATATGGTTGTGAAGATAAATTATCGTAGAAGATAATGGTAACAAACACATTGCAATTGCATTTTCTCTGAAATTTTAAATGTATGCATTTCTGAGGAGGGGGGTACTGAGTGTAATTCAGAGTTACATGTAGATATCTTGTGTTATTATTATACTATAGGTTAAAATTTTATGTCCGAAACAACTGCCTGTGGCAGCGTGATACGCATTTCGTCAAAAATTCATTAATTACTGCAATTTTTTTAATCAATTATTTAAAATCTTAAATTGATAGAATTTTTGTAATAACAGATGTTCATTTACTTTTTGACTTCAATTTTTAGAAAGATGTCTGTGAAGAAAGTAAAAAGACACATTTACGAAATAAAGAAAAACGAATCTATTATTTTAAAAGTAAATGTATTGAATCATTCATTTCAAAATGAATCCATATATTAAAAAAATTAAGCCCGTTCAACACATTTATTTATTTATTATCAATTTACAGATGAAGCTTCAATGGACTCTTGGAATTATGTTCCTCAATTTTTGTTCGTATCATTACTTACTATTTTTGCTATTTATTATCTAAGTGTCGCAACATTTAAAATACACAGTAAATGTGGAAGATTAACAAATATAAGTTAAGTATCCATATGAACCAATGTTTTAAAGTTATTCAATCATTAAAAATACATGTACACAATGCTATAACCGCATTTTTAAAAATGGAGAAATTATTTCCATTGAGAGGAAATAATAATAATAATAATAAATAATCAGGTTTAATATTTTTAACAGACTCTACTGTGGAAAGTTCCTGTACATCTGATTACTGCTATCACGGCGGTACGTGTACAGGCACACTTGTGGCCAAGTGCACGTGTACAGTAGGATTCGTAGGGAAACGATGCAATGAAAGTAAGTAATACCATGAGAAGTAATAATGTGCATATGATATGGGGAAAACGCATCCATATTTCCATCATTTGCTGGGGCATCGGGACCAAAGATCTTAGCTAAGCCTGTGCGTGATTTTTGATTTCTCTTCCTCACTAAATACTCCATTTGTAAAAGATGTATTATGAACAAAATTGAGGTATCCAAGTTCAATAGACCCTAGGCCAGGTGCCTAGATGTAAGCGCCCCCTGCCGATCGGTCACGACTGCCGTGAAACCTATGTACTAATGTATTAACAAGGTAGACGGAATTTATGCATTTTTTTAAAAGTAGAACATGAGGGCTTAACAAAAAGTATTACATAACATCAATCAAAACGACCAAAGCTGGGTTATATTGCTAACAATGGACAAGAAGATAGGTCATATTGCTAACTGTTACAATGGACACAATGATAGGTCATATTGCTAACAATGGACACAAAGATAGGTAATATTGTTTACTGTTACAATGGACACAATGATAGATCATATTGATAACAATAGACACAAAGATAGGTCATATTGCTAGCTGTTACAATTGACACAATGATAGGTCATATTTGCTAAAAGTGGACACCAAGATAGGTTATATTGCTAACAGTGGACACAAAGATAGGTTATATTGTTAACAATGGACACAAAGATGGGTTGTATTGCTAACAATGGACACAAAGATGGGTTATATTGCTAACAGTGGACACCAAGATAGGTTATATTGTTAACAATGGACACAAAGATAGGTTATATTGCTAACAATGGACACAAAGATAGGTTATATTGTTAACAATGGACACAAAGATGGGTTGTATTGTTAACAATGGACACAAAGATGGGTTGTATTGCTAACAATGGACACAAAGATGGGTTGTATTGCTAACAATGGACACAAAGATAAGTTATATTGCTGTATAATAAATATAAATCAGATGTGAAAGACTGTACTGTCTTTTATTTATTATATTACTTATTTTAGTTTACTGAGATATATAAAGTATTTTTTCTTAATCGACAAAACGTCATCGATAAATTTGATTGTGTAGCTAAAGGATATTTCTAAAGTGCTTTCTACTTCACATGTGGAATGTTTTTAATAAATTCTTCTTGACAGGAATATAAAATCAGGTTGGTGAATAAAAGAGCAATATGAGTTCCCATGAAAAGAACTATATGCGGTATATTGCATATATTTGCCCCCACAAAAGTCAAATTTTGAAAACTTCCTGAAATGTGCTAAATTCAATAAATTGTATGAGAAATATAAATTTACAGAAAATATTATAGTGTCAAAGCAGTGCATTCACAATTTTTGTTTTTATGACGTCACAAACTAGTCCGATTTTATATCCTTTTTCAGAAAGAGGACAAAATGGACAGAATTTCAACAATTTTAGCTTTAAAATTTATAGAGCGCAAGTTTGTTCAGGAACAATATTGACATATTTCATTGATATTATCATTCTACATATTATATCAAAATATTGATCCTGAACACACATGCGCTCGGTGACTTTTACTCAAAATGTCGACGAAATATGTACATTTTTCTGTAAAATTCATAAAAAACTGAAATTTACGTCATGTTTGTGACGTCATTATGTAGATATGGCGTCATTACTTATGAAAATATTCAGTGCTTTGAAGTCAGCATATACTCCCCTGTTTAAGAATTTAATTAAATATATCTCCATCAAAGTTTGATTTAGGGGGCAAATATTGGTTATTACCGAATAAAGTTCTTTAACAAATAATTTGAATACATGAAAAAAAAAATCTAAACATTCTGAAGACCAGCAAAGGCATTTAGTGTCTGAAATTTATTATGTAAAAGCATCTTAATGTAGAAAACAATTCAATTCTTCAAGAGGCAGGGTGGAGCTACAATAATAGAGTTATAAAAAGTTATACATAAGAATATGCAGGACAAGGTGTTTAAAATGCTCTAGTAAACAGGCAAATCATGACAAAGCATACTGACATGCAATCATCTTCAAAAAATTTAAATTCAAGTTTGTTCAAATAAGGCCTTTGAGAATATATTTAGACTACAAAAAGTGGAGTCAAAGGTTTTACAAGACTCTCTGTTATTTAATGTAGAATAGATATCAATTGGGTATAGTAATTATACTGTTGAATCAACCTAAAAAGTGAAGAAAATACATACGAGGTTAATATCTGATACAATTATTCGAAGAATGTAGCATACAACTGTATCTCTGTAATTGGCGAAATTAAAAATAGAAACGTCATAAATTATATTATCAAAAGTGTCCACTAAACGTGAAAGATTGAAGCGTAATCATTATAAAAAAACTGATAGGCAAATACTTTAAAGATATTTTGTACTTATTTATTTAAATTTATAATTTGCAGATGGCATGAAAAGCTTCAGAGATGAAATTAACAGTAGGGTGGGATTTAACAACACACATGCCAAACAAGATACAGAGAAAGTAAAACAAATTATACAGGAACACATTGATTATAACTACCAACTACCAGAGACTGTGGTAAGCATATTTCGTATGCAGCTTTATCATTATGGTTTTTTACTTTGTTAAACAAAGTTTATTTGAAATACAGAATCTCAGCGCAAGAACTAAACGTAAGAGATGTTTTTATAAAAGCAACATCTCCTAAATGCTATGTAGCAACCGTTAATGAAAAAACGCGGTTTGATGTTATAAATTATTGCATTTTAATAGCTGTCTTTCTCAATCGCTTATGCTCAGTCGCCGCTTATTGAAAGAATTATACCATTAAGAGGTTTAAAATTTCAATAATTTACTACCTTAAGCGTAGCATTACAATACTTAAAGATATTTCTATGACTAGGCGGCTTTTTATCATTAGCGATTGCTACTAGGCAGGCATGAAATTAGTTATATTTTAAAAATGGCTACTGGTCAGTTAGGGGAACCACAAGAGATGATACATTGTTCACTGAATCTTGCATTATTTATCATCCAGTTGTTACATAAATTGACGTTTCTCCTTAAATACATATGTAGCTGCAGTCTTCTGCAAAGTACAAAATGGCGAAAAACAAATGTATATTTTGGCAATGCTTATCTACTGTTTATCAATAACGAAATAAAATACCAATCACTTCTTGACCACTAGGAAATGCATGGTTTTTTAAATATAATTTTTTTTTACCGCGGCAGAACAAACATACACGTATAAGGTTCATAGAATGGGAAAACAGTTTTTTTCATTAATTCCAATGATAAAAATGCATATCTAAGTGTCCCTTGCATGATTATTTTTGTTTTTCTACAACAGAAATACATGAATGAGATCTTGGAGCATATAGCATCTGTAATGAGGAAAGAATCAAAACAGAATAAGGCAATGGAGAATGCAGACTTTCTGCCTCTAACTGAGGGTAATTTTACCAAAACTAAAGACTTTTTAATGCTACCTCTACCTACAGACCTTATATTTATACCAAATAAAAGAGGTCTGTCTGTAAGTGCAACAAAAACAAATTTCATAGAAATGTAATCAATATAATCTCATGACTAAAATATCTAGTCACAAGTCCTGAAGAACCCTTTGAATTTATTTTATCTTTGACAAAAAAATGCAGATCGATAAACTTTTAAGGATTGATTTGAACTTTACTTTATTTCATCTGCATAACCTATGATAATCAGAAATAGACCGTACGTTTAAGCTTATAATGAGTAAAAACAATAGCAAAAATTTACGTGGTAATACTATCATCTTGATAATTGCAAGAACATTATGCGGATGGATTTCTTCTAAATGTTATTGCTTAACAATAAAAATTTAATTTTAGATTATGTTGATATTCTTGCATACGCTGTCACGGTACTGAACAACAAAGGATGCAATGTAGGACAAACAGTTAACTGCACCGTAAACGTAACAGAGGTAACGGAATAAGTATTCGAAAGAGGAACCACGTGTCATGTCTTTATTGAATGAGTACTGATCTGTACTAAATTCTTCAGACTTTAAAAAATGCAGATAATAACTAAGGTCTAAAATGATGCCCTTCTTTTTTTTGTTTTTCAGTATTTATCCTTGCTCGACAAGGCAGAGGATAATGTGATACGAATAACCAGTGTAATGGTACTGACCAAGGTCGAGGAAGGACAAATGACGACAATAAACAAGAAAGACATAATCTCTTTCACAGTCCTCAAATCAAAGGGGAAAGATCTTCCATTTAACTTCCAGTCCGCCTATGGATCCATCACTCTACCCTACTGGGAGACTTGTCAGGATACCATTGGAGAAGAGACAGTTGCTCTTAATGTAGATATCAATATTTATGCTCTTTGTCTGATAGACGTTCAGAATTACTCGTAAACTTTCCTAAGCTTTGAATTTAATTGTTCATTATGTATAAGTCTATAAGTAATTTCAGCCTGTCAATCTGTTTTCAGGAAGTTAATGCTTTTCAAATAAAGGACCTGGTTTTTGAAAAAAGACATTAAGGATTGACAGTTGGTTATTTTGTTTAAATACATTAAGCACTTAATTTGTTCCTTTGTTAACCGAAAATTTTACGACAAAAACACAAAAACTTGTTAACAGCATAATTGTCATATATTTGGATTTCACAGGTGCTGACATATAAGGAGAGTCCATATGGGTTTGTAAACAACACAGATGCTGTGTCGTCAGGAATAATTAAAGTGGCGATAACGGACAAAAACGGAGCAAGAATCAGTCTTAAGGATCCGGATGAACCCGTTGATATGACAGTTGAAATGTCTCAGGTTCCTATCTATATTTGTATTTTTACTATATCACGACCGCAATAAACATTTGAGGAATTGATTTATGAATCACTAAATCCATGTTTAGAATTTGACCGACTATTAAAAACTTTGACCTGGTTAAAACTGGCATAAGAGCATGCCTATTCCTTGTGCCTTTACCTTTCCTTGCTTCCTCACAATTTTTTACCTTTTGATATTGACCTTGAAATATTACGTGCGTTTGCAAACTTTAATTTTTGTGATAACTTTTAATGCTTTTAGCCAGGACTATTAATATTATTTCCCGGAAATAGCCGTTTTTACATTTCTAAATGGATTTTTCGGGGGCTTTCATTTTTCACAGATGCATTCCTTTTGACAAGACATTTTTAATAACATTTTTTAATCTTTTGACATCGATGCATGAATTGTGTTTGAGAGACTCTAATCTTCGCAAAGTTGCCATACAAGGGTATCAGTGTTTCACAAACACATCCTAATTTTGATTACTATTATCAAGGAAATTGTTCCAGCTTGTGTGTTGTTAATGAAAATAGGTTTCCAAGGCAAAACTTTTTATAATTTTTACATATTTATAAAAATATATCAGACCTACATATCACTAACTTTTGATCACTAACTTAATCGTTGGGTGCATAATTTGGATCTTACTTTGGTCCATTTACATTAGATTAAAATTACATTTTAATGACTCTAAAGAAAAGAACTGATTTATCCCCAGTTTATTGCTTTAAAAAAGACACCAAGTAAATTTAGTACATTAACGAATTATCTGCATTTTAGACAGACTTTCCGAATGAGGTTTACAAATAATCTTTTATTACAGCTTTCAAAGTCGATACAATACAAGGTTACACAAATATTATAATATATAGAATCAATCTTTTTATGTCCTCTAAAATAAGTCACGTTATTGTAAAATGTTTTTTGTTGACTGTATATTGAGATTGATGCGTAAAATGAACTACTAAAAGTAAATAAATGTTCATATCCATATACATAAAACGTTCTTTTGTTTATTTGCTTCAATAAGAGTGTTTCAATTAGAAAATTTAGAATTGTTTTTATTCAGGTTTTCTAAAAATGTTTTTTTTTTAGGTTTGAAAAACATTGATTAACTTTTTTAATTTAATGACAGAGCATTTTCAGCTATTTAACTGCTGATTTTCGAGACCGTATTAAGTATTCTTTTTGCCATTCACGTATTTATGTCTATAATATATACTTGCATTGTTTGTTTTCAATGAGCTATTGGCATGTCTTTTTAACAGGTATTCTTGGCTACGCACACTTGGAAAGAGATGGAGAGACTGTCAGATGGCCGGTCCCTCTGTGTCGCCTATAAGAATTCAACTTACGCATCTTTTGTTTTGGAATTAAATATCAAGTCTCAGACAACATGTGAAGTGTATGGTATCTATGGAAACACAGGCTACCCAACTAAAACTAAACGTGATTTAGCCGTGAGAACAAAGGGGATCAATAAAATCCTATATTCCAGTCCCTTTGGACTTCCCTTAAACTTTGCAAACCAGGTACTTCAGATAACCATTCATAACCCAGAGTATACCAAGGGAGGATATATGGACCCCCTTGTTTTAACTATTAAGTGTGCAGGTAAAATGAAGATTTGTTATACACTGACCATCAAATGCATTGATCAAGATTTTGACATTAATACCCCAAGGATCAGGCGTTCTGGAGTAAATGTAGAGATCTATTGATCCTTTAGTGAAATTCACGGATTGTTAAAATATTCTAATCTCTACCGCTATAAAATAAGTACACTGATTATTTAGATAGTTATGATACACAATATATCTTCTCTTAAAGTTTTGAATTTTATGGCCCCTGTTTTGGTTATATAGTGCAAATGCATCTGTGTTTAGAAAAGAAAATTTTGTTTGCTGTTCCTGGCATTAGGCTGATAAAATAAAAACTTACCTAAGATGTTCCTTTTACAAAATCTTGAAGCCTGGATCTGTGGTTCCAAGTGCTAGGGTAGGAACCTATTGAATTTTAAGTGAAAATGCATTTTTTTAAAAATCTTCAGTACTACAGTATATCTTATAATAATCTTTAAATTTTGCGTAAGCTTTTTACTTAGAATCCCTCTTGACAAATCTGAAGATTTTTCTTTTAATTTCAACTTTTTGTGTAACCTTAAAAGATTTATTAATTTATTCTGTGATCGAGACTTTCTGACTTTTGGAATTCGAATATTCAAACAAATTAAAGTTAATATCGGCTTTATTGATATATTGACGCTTTTTTAAATTTGTTACTTGTATGAATCTTTCATAATCAACAATCACTTTAACTATATGTACAAACCTTTCATAATCAGCAAACACTTTTACTTTATTCATATTATGAATATAAAATATTTTGCTCTAATTACATGTAGATGATGTAGCAAAACGAAAGAGAAGACAAGGTAGGTCTGCTTCCTTGCTACCGTTGGTCGATTTTCTTCTTTGGAAGAGCCTGTGATTTTACGCTTGATCTGGGGTAAATAAAAATGATAAAAAGAATCACAGTTAAGGATTTGTCATATCACGATTTGTTTTTCTGTTTGAAAAGCTTCTTCAAATATCCATCAATATCGAATACAGGAACTATCCCTGTCTCAGCTGGACGGTGTTCTATGGAAAGATCCTACAGAAGCAAAGGTTATTTTCCTTATAAATAAAGGCAATAAGTGACACTGATTCTCTTCAGTGGGTTTTTAAAAAAAAAAAAAAAAAACTAATATTATGGGGAAACGTAAAGAAACAGACACTTAACTTTATCATTTAAAGCAATGTAAGTGTTCAAAAGTAATTGATCATTTCTTTGACTAATTTCAGATTGATAAAGCAGAAGGCAGCCATATCAAATTCAAAAGCACCTTTTTTGGGACATTTGCATCAAATACGTTATTTATTCCACCAACGGAGATTAACTTTGAAGCAATTTTTCTGAATTTTTTTGAACGCCTTCGGCAAACTCCTCATGTTCTCATTACCTATATAATTTTGTTTACGGTGGTTATGAATTTGACTTTATATCTCAGAAGACTGGACAAGAGGGATCATTTTATTGTAAGTAAAGAAGAATATAAATCACCAGTCCTTGATTGTTAATTTGTTATTACCACTCTTTATATACAAACTTGTTATTTGTTTTTTAACACATGAGTGATTTTTTTTTTTGCATACCCGTAAAATGCCGCAGCTTAGAATATTACATGTAATTGAATTCTGCTTGAACGTACAATTACAAACGTCGCATTTCATAATCTTTTTCAAAATAATATTTTAACAGTGGGAGTACTTACCATTGGCTGACAATAAACAACATTATTCATTTAAATACACGATTTCTGCATTCACTGCCATCAGATCTTCAAATGTGCTTACATCCACCCCGTATTTTGTTCTTGAGGGATCGAGGGGGTCCACCGGAGACCGTATTCTTTTTGATGGACAACGCGAGGTACCCTATAGAATTTTATTAAGTATATGCAGTGTAACTCCATCAAAAGCTTGAGAGAAGATACATTTACTAATTTTTGATAAGACGATATAGCAAACTGCCTTCTAAATGCAAATGCAAATTTCTAATATAGATGTATGGCACATGTAAGTGTTAAAATATGCTTTTTCTAGAACTTCAGAGGCGGCACATGCAGTAACTTTATCATGACAACAGAGGTGAATTTGGGAAAGCTTAAAAAATTAACTATATGGACTGACAACAAGGGATCTTCGCCGGATTGGAAATTATCAAAGGTCGTTGTGGTAGACCTTTCTACACGTCTACCTTTTCCAAAAAGTTTGTCAATGCAATTATTTTTTTTTCATAAAGTACTAATAAAAATAGCCTATATTTGCTTTATATTTGATATTTTAGGGAGGGGTACGTGAATTTATCATTATATATATATTATTATCTATATAAAATTTAAATGACTATTGGAACATGTCAATCAAACTTTTGTCAAATTAGGCGAATTATTTTAAAGGCATGATTTTTGGGGGATATTAACTAATATAACCTACCTTTTTTAATTACGCGCAAGTTACTGCAATGCGTTAAGTTTTGATTTTTAGTACTCCATATGAAATGAAGCTGCACGAAAACGATTTATAGGAGAGGGGGATTTAACATAGTTATAAGTGTTTATTAAAATTATTAATTTCTCTTTCTTTCAAAAGATTTACATTCCTTTGTGGCGAATGGATATCCCAGAAATATGGCAACTGTGACATGTGGGTAGATCTTCGCCCTCTGTCTAAGGACGTTTTCCTTCGGCAGACAGTTTTCAGGGAAACAACAAGAAAGGGGTTCTTTGATGACCACCTCTGGTTTTCTATTTCCAAGCGTCCACAATGTAGTCAATTTACCAGGGTTCAAAGACTCTGGACGCTAATGGCTCTCCTGTTCCTGTCAATGGTTGCGTCGGCGATGTGGTTTAATCAGGAACCATCAGAGGACGACAAGGACCCAGACGCTGTTAGTGAAATCAGAACTGTGGAGCTGGGACCGTTCAAATTAAGTTACAAACAGCTGTATGTAGGGTTTATGTCGTCTCTGATTACATTTCTGCCATCAATACTTATTGTTTCTATTTTTAAAAATAGAAGACTTAAGAAGAAAAAAGGCTCAGCCATTTCAAAGAATGAAGAAAAATCAAATCATCTAACAGAACGTGAAAATAGAAAACTTCTTCCATGGTGGAGTGTGTTTTTTGCTTATGCTTTAATTGTTCTCTGCATAACTACTGCAGGGACATTCACATTTCTTTACTCGTTAGAGTTCGGTACTGATAAAACAAATGACTGGCTATTGTCATTTGTGTTTGGAACATTTCTAGGGGTCCTTATTGTAGAACCCGTAAAGGTATGATATACTTGTTTTCCTATCTTTTGAATTTTATATTTTTAATAAGAAATATATCCATGTTAATTTTTTATCGCAATACATTTTTTCTAGGTTTTATTTATTGCTGTACTTATTGCGTGCTGTCTGCAAAGATCCATAGAAACGCTAGTAGTTCTAGAGGAATCATTTGAGGACATAGGTATGTAATTTCTATTTGTTATGTCATAATAATTTCAATTTTTCCGCTTGTCTACCTTAATGTATCAGTTCATGTTGATTTTATTCTCAAGAGATCCAACATCTTTTGCATATTTTTGTGACAAGCTTCAGACTGAAAACAAAGGATGTTTCTTGAATTTGCATTTTAGAGCAGGACTTTGAAGCTGGACGAGGCATGGAGGAAACAGAAGCATTCTACTATCCCTGTCCAAGTATCAAAGCCAATTCTAAAAGGAGCCTAATAAAAAAGAAAAGATTTAAACTGGATAATGACCTAGTTAACTATTTTAAGTCATCACTTCTGTGCATACTGTATATATTACTACTCGCTATGATCTGCTCACACGTCATCATAACAAAAGCTTTTCATCAGAACGAGGCAATGAAGATTTCCATTAACAACAGTTTCCTGGTAAAAAGGATATCTTGTATTTTGTTTCGCTTCGTTTGTTTGCTATTAGTATCTTACCGGGAAATTTTCACTCATATGAAGACACAATAACTTGCCGGTAGAGAGCTGCAAATATTGTCCTTTTCTCGGCACTTCAGGCCATTAAGCAGTGAGGCTCTTTTTCGTGTTCAACACCTACTTTGACATGGGACCTCGATTTATACGGTCTCGTCCGAAAGACCGTTCTCCATGTCATACTGTGGGATTCGAACCCTCGATGTAAGGATCAGCTCCTTTTTTTCGCTTTTCGAAAGCAGACGCTCACACCACTGTCCCATGCAGGCGACTTTTGTTTTATAAGAAAACGCATTCAATTGATTTACGTGACTGGGTAGTTTCAAAGCCTAAAATCATAAATATACGTTCAACAATCTGAATATTATTTAAGGTAACGTATTAGAATCTTGAGAGAGGTGGGTATCATTTCTTTTCACAATATCCAATTTTGATTTGCTCGCTCAAGTACTAAAACTACCTTTAAGGTTGTTTATATAATATTCGTCAGTCTTTAGAGAATTTTTCACTTTATCAAAGCTCTACTTTATCCGTATTCATTAAACTTTACGAATTTTTTATTGCCTAACTTATGATAAAATTTAGGCTAACACAACTGATGATATCTGGAAATGGCTGTTGAACTACTATACCCCTGCTGTGTGGAGAAAAAAATTCTTCAATGGTGATTTGAGAACAGCTTATGAACAAAGATTTACTTCTGACGGATACAATTACAGGATGTCGTTGATACAGCTCCGACAAGTTCGTTCCTATGGTATGTACCCTGTGTTTACTTTTCGAGTAAACATGAATTCGAAGTTGAACTTTAAAGAGTGTCTTTACCAAATATACTCTTTTTCATCTTAGAAATTTGGCAACTGAACATTAATTCAGATAATTGATAAAATACTAATTTTTTGTGTTTTGAATAATGTTAACAAGTCCTATCATCTCAAAAATTCTCGTAGAAATGTAAATATAAACTAGAGCAAAGCTCGTTGCAAAGCAACGAGTAGGTCTTCTGTCCTGTTTGACCGGAAGTAGCTTTCATTTTTAACAAAAATGAGAAATAACGCCCAAAAATGGTTTGAATCCTCTAAACCTATGTTAATTAATGCAAAAATAAGCCACTTTTTGCTAGTTCCGGTTTGACCGGAAGTAACGACGACGGACGGAAAATTTATTTTCATGCTCCCAGAGACATATGTTACATAAAACTTGTCAAGAACGTACGCGTTTTCGACTACTCCGGTTTGGCCGAAAGTGACGACGCCGTGCGTATTTTGACGACTCCAATAGATTGGGATTGACATTTTGAACAACTTTGCTTCTTTAACATGTTACAAATTCTCAATACTTTTTGGGATATTAAGGAAAATCTTTTGGCTCCTCTAGGCCCTTAATTATAGGGGCCAGCCCTTTTTTCGAGATATCATTTGAAAGATCATTTAATTCTACACTTCTTTTGTTTTATTTGTTTTAACAAAATATTTCTAGGTAAAAAAAAATATCGAAGAAAAGATGTCAGAAATTTTGAAATTCGCGATAGGACTATTTTCGGGCCATAGCGAGCGTCGGCGCTTCGTACTTCCGATGGTTGAGATATACCAAATTAAATACACATCTCCAAAGGTTCCTCTATCAGCACTGAAAATTTCATGCTTCTGTGTTAAGCGCTTTCTGAGAAAACTGCCGGACAAAATGACCCTCTAAAAATCACTAAATCGCCGAAAATTAAAGAAAAGCGCCTTAAGTTCATATAATTTGTCATCAATGCTGAAAGTTTCATGAAAATCCATTGACGCATTTACGAGAAACCGCGTGCACAAAATCGGTAAGAATAATAATGATAAGACTAGAGCAAAGCTCGTTGCAAAGCAACGAGTAGGTCTTCCGTCATGTTAGACCGGAAGTAGCTTTCATTTTTAACAAAAATGAGAAATAACGCCTAAAAATGGTTTAAATCCTCTAAAGCTATGTTAAGTAATGCAGAAATAAGCCACTTTTTGCTACTTCCGGTTTGACCGGAAGTGACGTCGACGGACGGAAAATTAATTTTTATGCCCCCAGAAACATTTGTTACCCAAAAATTTGTCAAGAACGGCAAAAATACGCGTTTTCCGGCTACTTCCGGTTTGGCCGGAAGTGACGACGCCGGACGTATTTTGACGACGCAAGTAGATTAAACTTGACATTTTGAACAATTTTGCTTCTTTGACGTATTACAAATTCTCAATGCTTTTTGAGATATAAAGGATAAACTTTCGGCCCCTCTAGGTCCTTAATTTTAGGGGCCAGCCCTTTTTTCAAGATATCACTTTAAAGATCTTGGAATTCTGCACTTCTTTTGTTCTATATGTTTTAACAAAATATTTCCAGGTAAAATGATATCGTAAAAAAAGTGTTAAAAAATTTGAAATTCGCGATACGACTATTTTCAAACCATAGCGAGCGCCGACGTGCGGCACTTCCGATAAAAATGAAGTACCTTATACATATCTATAGACTTTGGTCTATCATACCTAAAAGTTTCATGTTTCTATCTTGAGCCATTATTGAGAAAACTGCCGGACAAAATGACCCTCTAAAACTCACTAAATCGCAGGAAACTCCGAACCGGAAGTGACGTCATCAAATAAAAAAAGAACGCCTTAAGTTCTTTCCATTTGTCATCAATGCTGAAAGTTTCATGAAAATCCATCGACGCATTTACGAGAAATCGCCTGCACAAAATCGGTAAGAATAATAATAAGAAAAGTTGAAAAGAAACAACAGAATAATAAGAAGGTCTTCCGTTGAAACGGAAGACCTTAAAAAGTTGAAAAGAAACAACAGAAAAATAAGAAGGTCTTCCGTTGAAACGCAAGACCTTAATAAAACAAAATCTCGTGCATCTTATCACATCTCTTCTGTTTCATAGGCTTTATGGTATGGCTTATTTCTTCATTTTACATTATTTCTAGGATTAATGAGATTAATCATTATTATTTACCTTCATCTTCTCCACTTTGACCATCTATTTTAAATATCTGCTCAGTATTATTTTTATACATGGGCAGTTCTGGGACAAATTAGCATTATCAACAATTTAATTTCTTTTTTCATTATTAAGATTTTTCTGTGTCTCCCAGGAAATTGCAATGGTCCAAACGTTGTACAATACGTCGTTAAAAAATGCACGAACAGCTATGATATCGATGCAGATCCCATTACCTACTTCTGCCCCGGTAAGTAACATGAAATTCTCTCCAATTTTTGAAACTTGAATTGAGTACTGTAAATTCCTTATTATTCGCGAATGGAGGAATGATAAAGAGATTTTACCTGGATTTCAGCTCCATAAAATTTGATTTTGCGTATGGTGCTTCTCGCGAAATTACGCAATAATTAATTCCACGCGTATATATAGGAATCTACAGTGTGTATGGAGTTTAAAGACTATCTTCCAAACATTAATACATAAGTAAAATTCATATTAACTGGAAATTATTTATTCTGAAGACTGATGAAAAAATTTAAATGAAAACATATTTATGGCATTTTCATGGGTCCATAGATGCTTGTCAAACTGTAACAATAAATTGAATTTGTGTTATTAGGAAATACATTTCCATTTCTCTAGGTTGGGCAAATTTCAACTCTTCTTGTTTTGATGAAAATGAATTGACGGACTATAGTTTCCACTATAAGTCTTCAAGTGAATTAAAGTCATTGCCATTCTTTGGGACATACGCATATTACAGCGGGGGAGGCTACCGAATGCAGCTTGGTCCTAAGCAATCATTGGTCATGAAACATATTAATGAACTGAAATCTAAATCATGGATAGATGGATATACTCGTGCAATTTTTATAGATTCGAACACTTTCAATGCCAACAGCAGACTATTTACACATCTGAAAGTCGTCTTTGAGATTTCTGAGTATGGCGCCATTACCATGACAACAATATCTAAGTCCTCCAATTTATACCCATATGTGTATGCATTAGATTACATCATTCTTTGTCTACAGATAGTGTTTGGAATAATAATTGTGGTTAAGATGATTCTGTTTGGAACGAATGCCTTTAAATTGAAGTGGAAATGTTTTGTCACTTTTGGCATGTGGGTAACCTTAGTCGAAATAATTTTGGCATTATCGGCTGTAGTGTTCTTCATTATCCGAGTAGACAAGACTATCAAAGCAGTGGAAGACATCAATAACAATAACGGTAAGGCCCTGCATTTTTTTACGTGCATCACACTTATTTCAGCATCATTCTCTTATAACACAAAATTTGAATTAGTTGTCTCATATCAATTACAAAAGTTTTCATTTCTGTAATTGTTCTTTGTTTACAATGTTTGTATTTGTTAGAATGCTTTACTTTATAATCATTTACATACTTCTAGGTGCTTTTGTGTCTTTTGAGGAAGTCGAAATATGCGACGAAATGTACCGGATCTTCATAGGTGGGGTCTTCCTTATCGTTATTCTTAGACTTTTACAGCCATTGGCTTTCAACTACCACCTCTTTGTCCTTACGAAATCTTTGGACAAAGCTAAGGTGGATTTAGTTTCCTATATAATAATGCTATCACTCTGCTTAGTGGCGTTTGCCTCGTTCCTTCATTTGACTGTAGGTAGGACAACTTCCGATTTTAGAAGTATGATAACTTCATTGAGGACGTTGTTACAGATGCTACTGTCAATGATCTCCTTCCGGTTTAGTGTGGAAATGTCTTCCATGCAAGCACAAGTTATAATCAGTTTGTTTGCTTTCACTGTTTCAATTATTGGAATCAACATTTTTATTGGTATCCTCACCTGGACTTTCTTCTTTGTCAAACTCTTGCAAACCCATCCCGAAACATCACAGGAGCTACGCTTCAATCAGGAACTAAACGACCACTTCTGGTGGAGAATAAATCAATTATTGCAAGGATGGTTTTTCAATGGATGCGGTAAGCACATAAAGCTTAATAAGCTAATGTTAATCTTCTTATTGAATTTTTTTTTTTGGAAACTATAAATGTAAATGCATTATTTAGGCCATTGTTATATATTAATGTTTGACTTTTCATTTTTTAGCACAGATTGAAATAAAAGATATCAACAATAAGGCACGTAGAAATTTATGACATAAATCCTATACCTGTCCATGCATAGAAAATATATCAAACTTTATTGAATCAATTTTTTTCCTCACAATTTTGATGATATAGATAAGAGAATCTCAATGAATTGTATTCAAACATTTATTAATTAATAAAGATCAGGAAATGAATATGTTAATGCACTCGTTATAGTGCTATCTTAGGATCGATGGTCTTTAATAATTTTAGAGGATAGTGCAGACAATTGAAAGCATAGATCAAAGGCTTAACAATATTCTGAAGGAGGAAATAGAATGGACATTTTATACGTTAGCAATGATGTTAATTTGCAAGAAAGAAAAATGTATGGGAGACAGTATAAAGAATCCCCTTTTATGTCATATCGCCGCACAAAACAACAACATTCAATACAGGTCAGGAAAACTGTCACGATACTCGATTTGAATTTATCTTTGAAATATTTGTCAACTGTTTGCCTCTTTTTAGTATATTTGTTTATGAAATTGGTGATATAACATTTACAGATTTTTTGACCAATCGTCAAAATTGACAAAAATAGTTCTTCACCTCCCGTATGTGAAAACCGGGGATGCCCCAGAAATCGTCTGTCGTCAAGTTCCGCTTTTGAATTTCACGGCGATTGGTATCAGCATTCCGTACAGCCAACGAGCAAAGACGGTTATGTTTGAGATGATTACAAAGTTACAGGGAATAAAGGTTGCAGAATTCTTTTGTTTTGTTGTTGTTGTTGAACATGGTTGAACGTGTAAATGATGAATGAAACCGCAAATACGTTCGTCTTATCTAATGAAAAGTAATAATACAATCTGTAAATGTTGTTTTTATTGTGAAAATTTCAGAAAAGATGCAGAATAACATTTAAATGCAGGGCTGAAGATATCGTTCAATATAGCTACAATAACATGAGAACATGGAAATCAAAGCTCTTATATCAGGTAGCACTTTAATGAATTTTAATATTCTATTAAAATTATTTTCAAGTAACATCCACGGATCAGATAATATATGTAAGCTTAATACGTTAATGTCACATTTAACAATGGTAAATAGGTATATACCTTTTTTTTGTCAACATTAAACATGATATTTTTCCTATTGAATTCTGTTTTGTAGATCGAATCCCTAGGTGTATTTTCCTGTAATTTTTCCAAACTTCCGACACACTGTTTCGTGGTACATCGGCAAGAAACCATTAAATTGGACATTGGAGAACTGTATACATTCCCAGATTTAGAACGTCATCAGCTTTTGAAATTTGGCCAGTGTATTCGACTTCGCACAGATGACAGAATAAATATTACTATTTTGCCAAATGCTATACAGGAGAAAGGAGATGTTATTATTTTGGTGCGGATCAAAGATTTATTCAAGACGTTTTTTAAGGTGTTTGATACAGTTCTCATAGCGTATCTTATAAGATAATTCGCCTTTTTGCAGGTGGAGAAACACTTTGCGGCAATATGTCCAGTGTTACAACTCTATTCTACAAGAAAAATTAACGGCAATATAGGAATCTCTTTGCCCTTTAATTACATGCCCGAGAAAACTTCTCAAAATGGTACGTATTTCTTCAGCAGATTTCGACTTCCTTCTGGGTTTAGAATGCAGTAGCCGAAGCATTGAAAAGAAGTTTTGTTCATTTCAATTTAGCAAATATGTTTTCCTTTAGAAGTTCAATTGTATCAACCCTAGGTTCTGCAAAAGATCTTAAAAAGGGAATGTTCATAAAGTTATATTATGACCTAATTTGTGTATAGCTTTTCCTGTTTATAAATAAATTGTACAAAGAGCATTTTCTTGCCTTACGAACCAGCTAATGAACGAAAATAATAATAGTTTATTGCTTCATACACATGTACTAGCATAAGGGGCTTCGACTATAAGTTAAGAACTTCATACTATCATAAAGGTTTGTTGCTAGTTTGCCATTAGAGTCTTTTTGTAGTAAAATATAGAAATACATTTTCATTGCTTGTAAATTATATTGATTAATAATGACATAATAAGTACATAGTTAATCCATCAAGTATAATGGAGAGGCCCGGGTTCACCGGATCCAACATATTTTTTGTCAGAAAATTATGTCATTTTAGGGGTAACAAGAGAGCTGTGGGTGTTGATTCGCGAGAAAAATGCAGACTGGAGAAAGATTCAATGCCAAGTAGTGATGGACTTTGGCCAAATTGTAATGAATATAAACGGCATAAAAATGAAGTAAGATACAGTTAATAAATTATCCAACATTCAGTTACATATTTACGTAACATTATCACAGCTGTTTTTTTTTCATCTTTCTGTTTTATTTTTCAGAACTCCCACTGCTCTATGTGTGAAGGAAGTTGTACTTCCCTGGGTATGAAAATAATTTTATTAATGAGAATATAACAGAAAGATAGATCTCTTAGTTTATAATCTATGAAGAATGACATTTTAATTTTAGGGACAACTTGTACCATCGACACAAGGTAGGTTCATCGCCGACGCTTCGTCTTTTCTTTATAACACATTGATTTGTGATAATCATTATAAGATGATGTATGAAAAATGTAAACGATGTTTTAATTTTTATGATAGCCTGCTTAAAGTTAGATATGCCACATAAATGAGTGATTTTGATCTTTATATAACAATAATTTTATATTGGCTATAATCTTTAAACAGATTGGAAATTTCGCCAAGAAATAAATTTGCTGAGTCATGATACTTGGTTCAAGAGACACTGGCGAGACCTAGCTGAGAAATGCTCCGTGACATTGAGCTCAAAGTTTGATGAAGGGCATATTCCCTATTTTATTTCCGTAGAGAATAGGAATTACGCTTTTAATATGAACAGATGCTCGTTCAGGCGAATCACTATGCTTCCGTTTTCGGATGAGGAAAAATGTCTGACAGTCTTATCCACGTGGCTTAAAGGCATGAGGTCAAGGACAGGCGTGACGTCATTGATATCGTTGCTCAAAGAATACAATCTACCTTATTTACCAGGTCATATGATTAAGTAGAATAACTATAGAAAACATAAATTATATTATTAGAATATTTCTTACCATAAGAAATTTTATTATAATTAAAATATATAATATATATAAATTAAAAGAGTTTGACCAGTTTCTCTGTGGATGAGTTCAAAACACAGTCCCACAAACATTATATTCATTTGTTTGAAGAGGGTGTTTTGTCACTTGCTAAATTTTATTTCAGATGTCCGTATATAAGGAATCATCCTAACTGGTTGAAACGGTTGCTGTCGCAAATGATAACCAGATAAAATTTGTAAGTGGAGTAAAGACGACGGATTCCGAAAGATTTTAGTCGAAATGCAGGATCACTTCAAGTATTAGAGAAAGGCAAAATGATTTTAAAATTGCAAGAACATAGGAAGGATTTCCAACTGACTTTTATTTTGTTTACCATAAAATCTGCTATTCATACAAGCATAACAATGATAGTGATGTTAAAAATATAGGGCTGTAAAATATAAAATAGAATATAACCAGGTTTTCTATTTTTTATAACGCTGAATTATTTGTACTTCATATTCCAAGGTCTTTGTTTGTTTTAACGTCCATTTTGAGAATTTTTCCCTGACAAAAACATTTTAGTTAACTCTAGTTTAGCATTGTTAACTATAGTGAATACTTTGACATTATAAAAACTTTGATTTACTATAGTAATAACCACTGTTGGGTTAAAGAATTAAACCTCAATAGAATTGAAAGAAAGAGCGGTTGGTCCACTTTTTAGCTCACCTGAGCCGAAGGCTCAAGTGAGATTTTTTGATCACATTTTGTCCGTCGTCCGTCCGTCCATCTGTAAATTTTTCACATTTTTGACTTCTTCTCAAGACCTACTGGGCCAATTTTGACCAAACTTGGTACAAAGCATCCTTGGATGAAGGGAAATTTAAATTGCTAAAATGAAGGTCCAAGTTCCCTTACAAGGGGAGATAATAAAAAAAAATAGGGTGGGTCATTAACAAATCTTCTTCTCAAGAACCACTGGGCCAGAAAAGCTGAAATTTATGTGAAAGCATCCTGGGGTAGTGTAGATTTAAATTGTTCAAATCATGACCCCCGGGGGTAGGGCGGGGCCACAATGGGGAATCAAAGTTTTACATAGAAATATATAGGAAAAATCTTTAAAAATCTTCTTCTCAAGAACCACCTGGCCAGAAAAGCTGAAACTTATGTGGAAGCTTCCTAGGGTAGTGTAGATTCTAAATTGTTCAAATCATGACCCACGGGGGTTGGACGGGGCCACAATGGGGAATCAAAGTTTTACATAGAAATATATAGGAAAAATCTTTGAAAATCTTCTTCTCAAGAACCACTTGGCCAGAAAAGCTGAAACTTATGTGGAAGCATCCTGGGGTAGTGTAGATTCTAAATTGTTCAAATCATGACCCCTGGGGGTTGGGCGGGGCCAGAATGGGTAATCAAAGTTTAACATAGAAATATATGGGAAAAATCTTTGAAAATCTTCTTCTCAAGAACCACTTGGCCAGAAAAGTTGAAACTTATGTGGAAGCATCCTGGGGTAGTGTAGATTCTAAATTGTTCAAATCATGACCCCCGGGGGTTGGGCGGGGCCACAATTGGGAATCAAAGTTTAACATAGTAATATAAGGGAAAAATCTTTGAAAATCTTCTCAAGAACCACTGGGCCAGAAAAACTGAAACTTATGTGGAAGCATCCTGGGGTAGTGTAGATTCTAAATTGTTCTAATCATGACCCCCGGGGGTAGGGCGGGGCCGCAATGGGGAATCAAATTTTTATAATGGGAATCAAAGCATCCTATGGTACATGAAGTGTAAATTTCAAAGTGTCTAAATTATGATCAGTGGGGTAGGTTGGGGTCACAATATGTATTACAAGGGGGAAATCTGGTAAAGAACGGAATGGTCAAAGCTTCTCATGTGAGCGATGTGGCCCATGGGCCTCCTGTTCTAAAGGGTGATTTTATTTTAAATTTTTATATTCGATAAAAAGTAATGCGCTCTACAAATATGTTATATTCATTAATTAACATGAGTGTAAAATTCTCGAAAGTGACGTTAAACAACAAGCACTTATACATAAACAATGTTTTCCTTATTATTTTTCCATTTTAATTTGCAGTAACGTATCGATATTTTTGCTGGATAGACAGAATAATAGTTAAACTTTATCCATTCTAAGACATGCGTATTATTTTATTTTATATCAAATAAGTTAAATCCTTCTTTTGCTTAATTGGTGTCCTTCATTGAAAAAGTGCTAATTAGTGAATCAATTAACACCAAAAGAAAATTCACTCTCCTTGTAAATTCTGGAAAATGTTGATACAGAGACAAATAGTTCATCAGAGACGTACAGTGTAGGTTTGAAAATCGTTACCTGCCTTAGATGCGTAAATAGTGTTCATAATAAACAAAGAACTGGATATCTTTTTTTATAAGTAAACATTGAAACTTTTAAAAAGACTTTCATGAAAATTTTATTTGAATAAAGTTTGAGCTGCATTCAAGTCTCTTTATTAATTGAATGTGACTGCTTTTGTTGAGATGATTTTACAATAATTATTTTTTTCTATTGACTAACACATTGATTTTATTCTAAAGAAAACATTGATATTTTTTCTTAATCAATTCCACATGTAATTAGTTTTAATGGGGTAGTTTTAAAATACTATACATGATTAGCATGGGCATTTGCATTCATTCACTCAGCAATTATTTAGTATGTGTTGAAATCTGAAATACCTTTTCAGTAAATGATAGATTTCATTTAGAAACTTGTGTATCTATTAAAATTTTTGTTGCCCTTCATCTATATCTGTCATATTTTTGTTACATTAAATTTTAATTATTTTGCTCTGTTTTAAAAATAGTAAGATCCACAATGTAAAACAATTCTCTCCCCACCTCACGGAATTACATGACAAATCAATGGCAATATATCACAGATTAAAATGCTTTTTAGTGCAATGGTTATGTAAACAGAATAAAAGTAAACTAATATTTCTGATTTTTTTGTAATCTTTTAATAAAATTTTATGTACTACAGATATTACATTCAGTATTTAATCCAAACGTTTTTCTTCCTTTAAAAATTGAAAGAAAAATAGGTTTGCTCAATCCAATATATTAATTCGATTTTAAAGACTGTTATCATCAAATTCAATATTATTTTATTTTATTTAAACAGCAAAATTTTGATCTCATGGCCATCCACGATTTGTCCCATAACTATGTCATAAATAATCGTTATTGTAAGATTGTAGACTTAATATAAATAACAAGCCTATTTTAGCGGAAGTACAAGCAAACACGGGGATTTATGTAACAGCCACTTAGGACTAGTAGCAAGGTTGAATTCTTTCAACAAAATTTTACTTAGTGTTTTAAAATTTATTTTATTTTAAAATTACAAATGAATTTATTTCAAACAGCACTTTTCACCGATGTCAAAGAAAAATGGTTTAATAGAAAAATTGAGTGGAAAAAATCTTTTTGTACCCAAAAATGTATTGAATTGGACGTTTTGTACTTTTGATCAATTAAATCAATGTATTGGCCCCCTGTCATCCATTTATGAACCTGACATCTGAGAAGTCGCAATGTGATTTATTAGATGCTGCTGAATCGATAGGAGATCTCAATTTGAGTTACACAAAACTGTATGGATTTAGTTATTATTTAAGTAAACAATTTAATTATAATGCTTTCAATTTCATGTTAATTTAGAAAACACAAGTCCTGTGAATGAAAGGCTCACCTTGGAAGTTTTCCTTCATTCAATTAAATTGTAAACTCATATCTCTGTTCTACCGTACAGTACATACTAAATATTATTTGTGGGTTAAAACTATATTTTACAAGTATTTAAGAAAAGGGTCTCTGCTTATTGTTTTGGAAAAATCGTTTTTCGTTTGTTCACAGAAAAGAGACGATTTCGTTTTCAATTTGATTTAACCTTTCTTTATCTAAAAAAAACTCCAAACAAACCACTATATTTATTTTCTCTACATCAAGCATCAAATGTTTAATACGTTTAATCTGTCTGAAGTATCATCCTTGAGCCAATTCAACAATTATGGGCATTAATTAAAATAAACCATTCGATTACATTATAATTTCTATTTCTTTACTATTTAGTATATCTTTGCATTAAAAAAAATCAGATTCTTTGTCGTTTTTCCAAATCTAAAGTTTTAACTAGACAGAAAAAATAGGTACAGTTTAAAGATATGAGACAAGTCTTTCTTGCTCAGGTTAACTAATAAGAGGAGGACATTCATTTAAATTCAAATCGATGTATTGCTTTCTCTTTGCGTTAGCATTGGTATTTAAACTAAGTATTTCTTTGTTAATTGGACAGGTGCTAAGTTTTTCCTTCTGTGTAACGTTTGTCGTTACACTTGAAATATTGGTGTTTAATATTTCCAATTATTTCTGGGATTTGGGAATCGTCCGGATTATGGTATGTTATTCTAAGTGTATGTGTAATTATATTGCAAAAAAAAAAAAAATAAGAAGAAAAACAAAACAAAACAAAAAAAAAACATAAAAAAGCAAAAGAAGTTTAAATTCAAGCAGTTTATATTTGTCTTAAATTACTTGTATAAAAAATAAAACGATTTTTAAACGTTAAAGAATAGATAATTATTAATGTTAAATGCTTGTTTCATTAATTATTTGGGAAAATTGTTTCAAAATTCACCAACCCTGCATTGGATGTAAAGAAATTTAGTTACCTGGTATTTGACAGATGCTTGTTATAAATATCAATTATGTCATAAATATTATCTAATAAAAAGGGTTTAACATAAATACTAAAAATGAAGAGAGGACGGGGTAATTTATTCTAAACAAAATTTGGACATGCAGTCTGTTATTGGACACTTCAAGTTTTACATAAAAGATATAATTATACATTTGCGATATAAAAAATTTACAATACCAATTTTCGATTTGATTCTGAGAAGATATTTCTGAGAACACAAACGTTACCATATCGGACAAATATTTTTTATTCAAAGAATTGTCTATAATCATTAGCAGACCTTCTTTTTGTATTTATGAGAAGCAAAATTTGTTCGAGATCTTAAATCTAAAAAGAAGAGAACACTTGCTGTAACCTTCAATCGACATTTAGACATATCTACGACGTATTGTCAATTAACAATGGTACATTTCTTATGTCGATACGATATTTCTTGATGAGCTGGAAATAAGATACCATAGAGTCTGACACATCTGTTTCATATTTGGATATTTTACTTGAAAAAGACCTTTATATTTATCTAAAAAGTAGACTTTATGATAAATGTGATGACTTTAAATTTTCAATCGTCAACCTCCACTACTTATGAAGCAAATACCTTCATTACCTGCGTACGAGGCTTATATCTTTCAGTTGCTTCGATATGTAAGGATATGCCCTACGTCTGTGCAATTTCTAAAACGAGGTAAAATATTGACAAACAAAATGATGAAACACGAAACTTACTGCATGAATTTCAATGATTCAGAAAGGATGATTTTTTTTTATCTCGTACATCACTTCCATATTTTAGAAAAATAAAACCAAGACAATATTTGAATCGAAACTGTTCCCTGTTCGTCAGAACTACAGTAATGATCTCTTAAAAGAAATGAATTACATGTGTTAATTTTTTTTACAAACAATCAACGCAATGGTCAAAATATATTACTGGTGTTTTAAGGTATTCTAAAAATTAAAAAAAAAAATCAATGTAGAAATGTAGTAAATATTAAAAGAATCAATAAAGGGTGTATCGATATTTAATTTTTTATCTCTTAAAATCGTCTGACCCTTATAAGACTCCAAAGAACCAAAATGAATTTAAACTACCATATACATATTGGATTCCTAAACTTCATTAGAAACCTTAAAAACAAAGATACATAGCGGGTACCAGTAAATATTCTCTTTCTTTACTCCTCACTCAGATAGTAATAGTAGTGAAGGAGAAACTTCAAGAGCACTGTGCAACAATATATTCAAGAAGTGGTGTAAATCAGATGTGGATACTTAAAAATTCTAAGGAACTTTTAGACAATCACAAGATTTTACCAAAATTAACAGCTTACAAACTTACGACTTTTCCAGGCGTGTTTTGATATCATTGGCAGCTGCTTTTTCAATAAATATGGAACTTGTAAATTTACTTACCTAGTCATTGGTCATTTTCAAAATTATTTCATTAAAAACATTCTGATTGTACACACAAGTACTCTGAAGTTGACATAAAAAGATGCTTGAGTTTCTTATTGACAATATCTATGTAGTTTTTGTAGACAATCTATTGGAATTCCCATGGATACGAATTGCGCCCGGTCTTTAGCAGACCTTATTTTTTGTATTAACATGAAGCAGAATTTGTGCAAAATCTTGTGCGTGAAAAGAAGAAATCACTTTTTGTGGCCTTCAACTCAACATTTAGATATATCGACGACGTATTGTCAATTTTTAATTATAATTTCCATTCTTATGTCGATACGATATATTCTGGTGAGCTTCAGATAAAAGAAACCACAGAGTCTGACAAATCTGTTTCATATTTGGATAACTTACTTGAAAAGACGTTAATGATAATCTAACAACCAAGCTATATGATAAATGTGATGACTTTAACTTTTCTATCGTCAGCTCCCCTTACTTATGCAGCAATATACCTTCATCACCTGCATACCGAGTTTTATATCTCAGTTGATTCAATACGCAAAAGCATGATCTACGTTTGAAAATTCTTAAACGAGATAAATTATTGACAAACAAGTTGATGAAACAAGAATATCGGCAGTCTCGTTTAAAGTTATTATTTCGTAAGTTCTACAGTTGATACAATGACCTTGTCAGCAAATACAATCTATCATAGAGTCAAATGCTGACTGACGTTTTTCACATTAATTGTTAGTCCATTATTATACCCCCGCTTGAAAAGCGGGAGGGTATATAGCAATCGGTATGTCCGTCTGTACGTCCGTCCGCCCGCTTGTCTGTTACGCTTTGGGGTATCCATCTCCAATCCAAACTCCTCTCATACCACTGAATGAAATTTGATGAAACTTTCACAGAATCTTCATAACATATTGCCATCGTGCAGCTTCTATTTTACTTTTGATCTGACACATATTTTGGGTTTCCTACAACAAAACATGGATACTCCCATTATATTCAGATGGGGGGCGGGGGTATCATTTCGTGAGCTCATTGCTCACAGTACCTCTAGTTTATACACTGAATTGATGACAGATTTTCCCGTTATTTCTCGATCATGACAAATAGCACACGGCGGGTGTGACCGGTCGGCAGGGATGCTCACTACTCCATGGCACCTGATCCCACCTCTGATGTTTTGGAAGTCCATGTTTGCTCTGCACCTGTTTTGTATTGTTTTATGGACTTTTGATCTTGAATACTGTTTGTTATCTCCATATGTTTTATGAAACAAATTTCATTGTTTTTGTTCCATCTGAAATTTTCATATCTGGGGATTGGACATCTATTTTTTTTTTACACGTTCTGCTTCTTCATACATTTTACCTTAATATTGTTATTAAAAAGATACTGAACTTCCTAATTAACAACATCCTTTGTGACATTTACCTGGATGTTATCACATGCATATTGTGCTTATGCCTTCCAAATGATTGGTTAGGGAAGGACATTTTCTGGGTAATATACTTCTTACATTGAGGCACTCTAATAACAAGTACGTGGATGTGACAAGGACCTCTACAATTTTTAAATTTTACGAGTGCTATAATGACCTTCTTTGTAAATAAGACCTATATTGAATCTTTTTTGTTGTTGCTGAACGTTTTTCATACCAGATTAATATACTGTATCGGGTGTGTCGGCTTGACAGGTGATGTCTATTCGTCTTATAGTCTCCTAGGCATGGGATACTATCTTTGTAGGTTCCACGGGTTCATTCCTTGTTGTGTACATGATTTATATTATTGTTATCCCAACATTCTGCATAAAATTCTAGCTGTATTCATATCTCTGTTATTAATTTAAAAATGAAAAAGATATGACCCTTTACGATGCTAAAGACCTGTGTTCAGTTAGGTGATGGAATTTAAGATTGTCCACAAGCTTGTACATTCACTCTCACATCAATAATTTTATCCTAAAAATGCTTTTTATCAAGTTACAGAAAATTTCATGTTAACCATGAATGTATTTTGAAGGGCATCTAAGGACTGGAACTAAGGTCCGTTAAGTAAGAACAATGTCATACAATAAACAACCATCCATGCCAGAACCAATGTCTGGTCGGGCTATTGAAGACATAATTATGAAAAGTAAACAACTTTAAACTTTTTAAATTCATTGTCAGCTCCCCCTCTTATTGACTATTATATTTGTCTTTCCTATTTAATTAAACAGTGCAAATGATACTTAAAAATTACATTGATTGGTTAGATTAGTAAGCAACTATCAACTTAACAATCGAGCACAGTGAAAATTGATACCTAAGCACGCCGTCCATATTTTCGGCTTCTTTTCCCCTCGCTCAGGAAATCAATGAGAAAAGTACAACATTGCCAGTTCATTGCTTGAAAAGCTCTCAATTAGCATTTTATAAACATTTTTATAGCAAACATATTTTATTAATCAACAATAGAATTGCTCAATATAAGCCAGAGTCTTATAGCCCAATAACGCTTTCGAAATCTCATATCATTCAGATTGTATTTCAGCGACAAAATCATACACAGATGTTATCAACTTCAAGCAACCAACTTCGAACTTCTCGTGACCGTGACGACATGTTCTTAATCAGTATAAAACACACATAAAGCAATGAAAAGGCAAAAAAAACTGGATTTGGGAATATATTTATCTATATTTCAAAATTCATCACATATCTGATGTTCGAAAAATCCTAATGCCCTTCTGTAAAGATCTCTTGTGACATGACCCGGTGAGTTTTCCTTTGAAGTCAAGCATACTGTAACTGCGATACAGAACACTTTTTGTGGGCGTTTCTTATGCAAATGAGCAGAAACTGTACCGTATCTGCAAAATATCAACGATACAGTACGGTATATATTTAGCGATGACGGAAAGCTGTATCCATATACAGACATACCAATCGTTCAATTCGCCATAGAACTGTTAGTATTTACTCAAAAATTGAGGTGAATTAAGAATAAAATTTTACAACGTAAAGGTATTATTGTCGGATTCAAAAATTTTAGAAAGGAGGGAGTGGGGAAGTTCACAAATTATTACTTTGACCCCCCCCCCCCCAAAAAAAAAAACGGAAAATCGTATTCCGTGGGGTTATATTTATAATCAACCAACACCTATGTGCGTCATTTCGTTACTTGTTGACGAATTAAAAAACGTATGTATACAAGATTAGGAAAAAAATTATTTACGAAAGCGAAAAAGAAAAAAAACTCAAAGGAGGTGGGATGGGGGCACTAGTGAGTGCTGTATTCCCCTTTTTATAGTTACTCTACATTTTAATGAAAACATGATCGTAAAATACCCCCCCCTTTCCTTTCATCTGCTTATTTCAATTTGTATATGACAACCGGTGGAGGACATTGTCGGACATTTCTCTCAGAATCTACGATCTCCCGAAGCATTTTTGTTTCAAAAATATTCCCACATGATTCTTATCAAAATGTTTTGCATTAAATCGTAGCTTAAACTGAAAAAAAAATGTCAGCAAAAGCTGCATAGAGAAAAAAAAAACCCTGCGCAATCAAATCTAAATAAAATTTTTGGAGAACAAATTAATTTATGCATCCCTTAATTAATTTTAAAATGATAGATACCTGCACGTCCATCACACTCGGCATTTCAGTTGCGAATGCTTAAAATGGGATACTAAATCAACTTTCTGCAAAATCATCTGATTGGTTGGGAGGTATGTACCCAAATACGCATGTAAATTAGTGAGGTCCTTGGAAAGGTCATGTCACAAGTCATTTAGAATACTCGTTTCTTACTGTATCAGAGATACAGGGCGGGGCCCGGCTCGAGCTATCGCTCTCGCCTCAAGCCCCGCCCTGTATCTCTGATACAGTAGGAAACTCGTACTCTAAATAATACTTTGAAATGATCTTGTGTTGAGTCACGTCAAATCTTTAAGTTAAAGGTGCTTGGGCACAGACTTGAAGATTTCAAAAAAATTCTTCATAATTTCATGACTTATGTGTTGCTATTGCATTTTATACAATAATATAACAAAAATCTTATTTTTTCTCGCAGTTATTGAAACTTCGAATTTCTGTTTTCTGAGTCCCGGGATTTTTAATTCCAATAATATCTAGAAAGATAAGTTTTTATCATGTTTTCGTGTAAAATGCTATAGCAATATATATTCGTGATATTTTACAGAAAATTTTAGAAAATATTAAGATCAAATCTGTGTCTAAGAATCTTAAACAGGAACGCAAAACATTTGACTTTCATTTTAATCAACGATGTCAGTGTTATAGCTCAATCTATATATAACTATCTCAATGATTTTGATCTATGAAATAAAGCCCTCAAAGAAAGAAAAAAATAAGGTTGATGACAATACTTTTCAATAATTTTCCCTTTCAAGGGCTTGCGCCTTTTATCTAACTAAATTTTAATTCTATCTTTCAGATAAAGATTGGAGTGACGGTTGCTTTTGTGCTTGTTACAATTTGTATGTATATATTTACGTGGATCTTTTGCTATTTTTTTTCTTTTTTGTAAATATATGGAAATATGTGGCGACCTTTTGTTTTATTTTCTAGACCCGGTGGTGGAATCGGTGCAATGTTCTTCAGGATTTTGTTTTCACAGTGGAACGTGCACTAATTCACCTAATGCAACCTGTACGTGTTCGGTGGGATTTGTTGGGAGTCGATGTAGTAAAAGTGAGTATAATATCTGGTGTGATTTATGTACAGACATGTTATACAGTTTTGGGTAAACAATCCGTTGTCAAATAATTAAAACCATTGGTATTAAATATGTCATTCAAAATACCACCAAGAGATTTTTGCCAGGAAATATATTAAAATGACCTTAACAACCCCAAAATGCAATATACTGTGTAATTCTTTTTCTGGAGAAAGTGTTTGTAGCAAATTTCTAATTATTTAGATTGATCAATTGAGGATTCTAAATAAAACTTAAAAGAACTTAAGGATAATTAAAAATCTAAAATAAAATCAGACTTCTAGAGCATCAAGACACATGACCACTCTATGCTTTTTGTCAACATTCCTCATGATATATTTAACATCAACTCAGGTCCTTCCACAATAAAGATCGATAATTAGATGTTCGTTTCTTGCGATTGATCAACTCCAAAATTACATCATTCTGATTTTATGTACAAGTAATCTGAAGCTGATTGATAATTAATGACGAGCAAAACCCAACATATAGCGTTCGATAGGGTAAATGGGCAAATAGTGATAACTTAAACGTGTAAAAATTAAGTTATTTTATGACAAAATGAACACTTCTGCTCTCTCTTGTTTGCCTCTTGTGTGTGCATGGTATTTCAAAGACACTTTATTTTAGAAGTTCTGATATTTTTGCAAATTTTTACCTTACATAAGTTTACATTATGTAAAGTAAAAAAAATCACAAGTGTAAGTGAAATTCTAATGAGATATGTGTTATAAATAAGTATAATTTTTCGATTCTTATCACGCATGAAGCAAAAGTGTTGAAAGGCTTTGAAGGACTGATTTGTGAATTACTAGTACTTCCCTGCCTTATATAGTTTCATCGTAATAAGAATAATTATGCTCTTGAGAAACCAAACCAGTTTGTAAAATTAAATATTATGTGCAGTTGATAGTTAAATACATGGTTAAAACAAGGAGAAATAAAGATTGAAACGCAAAACTTATGTTTGTCTTTATTAAGGTTTACTTATTACAAATGTACCTTGTAAGTTAGCCATTTATGTTGACGATCCATATTCAAGAAAATAATTCCTTTCAAAACGATTTATTAACATTTAAATATTGTTAGTTGAAGAGGAAACATCTTCCCTTTTGTGTAAACTTTTCAGTATATCAGAAATCATAACGTGACCAAAAGTATTTTTGAAGGATTCATTTTGCAACAAATTTAGTTCACGTCTTGACGCTTATGTAAATTTTTTCATTGATATTTGCCTTAGTGTAAAGGTGATTTGGAAATGACAAAGTTAAAAGTTCACAAGTAAATAAACTTAGTTACAGCATGATCAAAGTTTCGGAAAGCAGTTTGTGTTTCACTGTATGTACATGTATTAATTATGTTGCAGACGGCATGAAAGACTTCCGAGATGAACTAAACAATACGTGGGGGTATAACAACGTGACAGCGAGTGGATATGTCGACAAAGTTAAGCTAATTCTAGAGGAACACATCAACTACGATTATGAGCTCATTAAAACTGTGGTAAGAAATCAGTAAAAAGTGATATTGTTGTATCGAACTTTTGAGCATGATTACTGTATTTTATCTTAACATTTTGTTGATATTGATTACCAATTAAATATTCATGTATTATTTACGCTTGCATCTACAGAGAATATACAATAGTGTTTCCATCTCCTATTACATTAATTTACATTAATCACTGAGTTAAAAGTCTAAAAAAAAATTGGATGTTTATCTATTTTTTTAGACAATGAACAAAGAGTATTGTCAAAGAATTGTGCTAATGCAATAAATGTGTACGTTGTTTTAATTTATGTTGTTTAAGCTGCCATTCAAGAATTCATTTATGTAGATAAGTTATTTGCCGAAGGTGAGTGCCAGGAATTTCGACCGATGAAGGAGGAAATAACCATTCTTTCCAAAGGACGCGTTTTCTTTATTTTTAATGCAGGGGTATCGAGCTGAAAATCCTATGTTAGTCGTCTGTTTATAGTTTGGTGCATTAAAAGAAAAAAAACTAACTAGGCTAGTGCAATCGGTATAACACTGACAGAAAGATAATTTAATTTATTTATTGATTTTGAAAAGATAAGTAAAGCTCTTCACTTTGAATTCAAGATCAAAATGTAGAAAATTAGTTGCACATTATTTTTCAACATATTTTTACACCAGTTTTACTGATTCCCGAGAACTGCAGTCTTTTATGGAAAATGACTTACAAACAAATGCATTGGTTCGCCGCCAATATAAGTTCATTTTTTTTCCCAAAGTAGTCATGTTTCAGTGATTGATTTCAAATTAATATCATGTTTGTCAATTTTCATAAAATTCCCATTATTTATCATGAGAAAGAGAAACAACTCTTATTTATATATAATTGGACAAAAGCACAAAATCCTCAAAGAGAAAGAAAATCTTAATCAATTACTGATTCATAATTGACTCATTGGCAGAAACTTTTAAACAGAAAAATCCATAGAAAATTTAGTGTAAAAATAATGGTCTAACAGTTAAAAACGTCATTCAGACGTCACCTTATTTCGGCGTAGGGCTTCAAATATAAAAAGGTACTCTGGATCCTTCAGCAACGAGGGTTTTTTGTGATAACAACTACACTGAACTTATTTTTAAAGTGATTTTCGAAGATTATTAGTTCAGAAATAATGCCATATTTATGACGAGGATCGAACGACACAGTGGAAGTAAATCATTCAAAGCGAGCATCCCACCATTCTTACCCTTCCCAAAAATATTAAAAAGAAATGTTGCCAATATGATGAATTATACGTGTGAGAATGGGAGTAAACTAAACTTTGAACCGTGGATTCGAATTAGGGTTAAAGGGTCAAAATACACGTATTTTTTTTGTGGCACGATAAAGATCCCACCTTGCTCAAAGGCCGTAAGTGCCGAGCACAGGCCTCTCAATGGTGACGTCTCCATATCAGTGAAATATTCTGGAGAGGGACGTTAAACAGTATACAATCAATTGAATTAGGGTTAAAAGGTCAAAATACACGTATTTTAATTCTTTTTCGACCTCTCACGCAATCTCATATATATTGAAGTCGCCTTCGGCGACACTGCATTTTAGCTCGTCTTTCTGGGAACCAGAAAAGTAAAGTCGTCGGGTGTGACCGGTCGGCAGGGGATGCTCACTCCTCCATGGCACCTGATCCCATCTCTGATGTTTTGGAGGTCCGTGTTTGCTCTACCCCTATTTTGTACTGTTTTATTCTCTTTGATATTGAGTACTGTTTCGTTATCTCCATATCCTCAAATATTTTCAACCGTTCTGGATTCGAGAATGCAAATATCAGTAAAAATACTAGCATATACATGTTTCAAACTCTGAAAGTGCTAGTGATGTGTTTTTAGAATCTAATTAATTATAGGGGAAAACTGATTAACATTAATTTTGTTTACTGCAATTGAGGAATTATATTTGAGATAATAACACAAAGGGACTTACTTTTATTTTTTGGTAGAACTATACAAATGAGATCTTGGATAAAATTGCCACTGAATTGAGGAACCAAACCAGAAGGAAATGGGAAATGAGAAATGCCGATTTCCTGCCATTAACAGAGGGTATGATCTTTTGAAGACATATATATGTAGCTTTGACTACCTTTTACAATAATTACAGTATATGTCTGTCATGAATCATTTTATTGAACAATGCAGTCAACGTTTGAGATATTCATAATACGCCAGTTACCGTCCAGACCGGTCGTTAACCATACTTTTTCTTTATAACGGCATTTATCTTAATATTGCATGTCATAACTTTGATAGTTTTTCGTACTCTTTATATAAGTATTTTTGTTTTCAGACTATATAGAGATACTTTCGACGATTGTCACGATATTGAACGGTGAAGGTTGTGGTGTGGGCCAAACCCGAAATTGCAGTGTCAATGCGACTTTGGTATTTTTTTTTCTAAATAAAAAAAATTAATTAAAGTTGGCTTATTTTACAATTATATAAAAAAAAAATCTTTTTCTTTCAAATATATTTCATAAGATATGAAAGGAAAGTCAACTGAAACAACATTTTTCAGTATTCCAGCTTCCTCTCGTATGCCGAGGATAACCTTGTACAGATTTCAAGCTTAATGGGGATGACGAGAGTTGAAGAGGGAGAAATGAAAACAATTGAAAAAGACAGCGCCATCTCTTTCACGATCCTCAAGTCAAGGGGGAAAGATCTACCATTTGTTTTCGAAGCTGCGTATGGATCTGTCACGCTGCCTTATTGGGAGACATTCCAAGACACTATAGGCGGAAGGACAATTGTCCTTAGTGTATGCATCGGTTATTTGTCTACGTAAATTCAAATAGAAAATTTAACTCATTGTTGTAAAATTATCATTCGAATGTATTTCATTACGTCCTTTAAGACGTGTCTGAGTATGTCACCAGCATCCTGTTATATGAAATACTTAATACTTGGTGTGAAATACTTTACTTGCAGAAAGATGATTTTTTCAACTAATTTTGAATGGCCATGCACAAGCTTTTTTATGTAAAACAATATTTAAATTGGCACATGTAGTACAAGATTCCTCAGTGGCACCTGATCCCAATTCTGAGGTTTTGGAGGCCCGTGTTTGCTTTGCTCCTGATTTACATTGTTTAATGGATTTTCGAGTACATGTCTGTTATCTTCTTATATTCCATCATTGAATAATTCAAAGTTCTCTGATTAGCTGTGATACAAAAGTGTAAAATCATTACCAAGCTATGTTCACCTGCACAAGCCCGACTATCGAATGGAACAGGGAACAAATGATTTAATTATTTTTTACGTTGGAAAAATAAGAATGGATCAAAAAAAACCTCAAATTCAGGGTGATGTTTTACTTTTTACCCCTTTGAAAATATAAAATATAATGTGATTTTGAATAGTATAACAAAATACAACTAAAGGTAATGTTTCTGAAAGTCAATTATTATACTACTCAGTCGGTAATTTATGAAAAGCAGCTATAACTATGGCGTTATATACAGAACAAGATAAACCCTTCCGATTTAATTATAAACATATAACAAAGTATTTGACAATTGATTACAACGAAAATGCTGTGTATAACTTATTCCTTTACATTTTTCTTATAGCATCGTCATTGAAATACATTTTCGATGTGTTTTGATAAATAAAATGTGAGCTATTGTATTTGTTCGTTATTATATTTACAGGTGCTGACGTATCATAAAAGCCCGTATGGTTTTGTAAAAAACATGGACGCTGTAGCCTCAGGAGTAATCAAAGTCGTTGTGACAGACAAGAACGGAAAACGCATCGACCTCCGAGATAAAGACGATCCTGTTGACATGTCAGTAGATATGACACAGGTACCTCTATCTCCCATGTTGTTTACTTTTTTCTGAAAGTTTATTTCATTTTATTCAGATTCCTTGATGATTAAAAGTGAAGATGAATTGGTTGATTTTGATATTTTTGTTTAACTTGGTTTAACATTCAAAAACAGATTTTATCATTTTCTAATTATGAAAAAAAGTATTTTTATCAGAGTTTCACTGGGATGAGATATGTAGTTGGGTACGTGTTCAACGTCCCAAAATCTCAAACATTTTGCTTACCATGCATATGTTACCAATTTCATGTCATGTGTTTTGAATATCAATTAAATAAGTATTGTCTGGCAGCAACTCACACCTGGGAGGACATGAACAAGTTGTCTGATGGCCGATCTACATGTGTAGCTTTCAAGAATGAAACGTACTCCGCTTTTGTTCTAGAAATTAAAATCAAATCCTTGACAAAATGTACTTTGTATGGTCGTTATGGAACCATTGGATATCCCACCAAAATAAAGCGTGACATTGTGGTCAAAACCAAGGGTAGGAACCTGATTCTGGATTCAAAACCATTTGGACTTCCGGTTAATTTTGACAACCAGCTACTACAGATCACGATATACAATACACATTATGCTAAGCGTGGCTATATGGACCCCCTTGTAATTACTCTTCAATGTGAAGGTAATAATCTAATATGTAGGCACAAAAGATAAGCTTTGTTAACGAAACATTTGATTTGAGTAAAAAGTACAAATGAATAAGAAATACGAGGACTGTTGCCCTTTGCTTGTGACGTCACATTGTGAAATTGACGTCACATATATACCCATACACAACTTTTACAAAAAATTTTGTTTTGCTCCTTGCGTTCACACTGTGTAAAACGGCTGTAAAGTTTATGGTTTATCTTGTAAATTCCTTTGCAGTAGCGTATAATGTTGTACGTGTACATAAATTGGCGTATTCAAATTTTAGCGGAATCACTGGGCATTGAGTTATTGGCGTAGACATGAATTAGACATGAATTACCTGCCATATTCTAGTATATGAAGGGCCATACTCAAAAATGTGTTTTAAAAACAATCAGAAATTGGATAAAAATATTAGGGACATGTTTTTAATTTAAAGAGAATAATTAAGTGAAACCAGTAAGACTAAATCATTGAAAAGGTTTTTTTTTTTGTTTCTTTCGGCGCACCGAGGACATTACTTATTGAACAGCCCTCGTATGTTGTATCACAAAGCATAAACTAGTGTTTCAAACAGTATATAATTAGCTGTGAGTTTTAAATCATAAGGATATTTATTTCTGCAATATTGTTGGTAAACGTCTTAGTCGTTGTTCTTGCTATCAAAAGCGAGAGTAGAAAGTATACTTTTATTTTCTACAGATGACGTAGCAAAACGTAAGAAAAGACAAGGTGAGATAATTATATTATTTACATTTATTTCTAGTTTCCAGTTTGTAGAACTAAAAATGGAAGAAAAAATACATAATAAATATTGTGTTCATTATTTTCAAAAAAAATCAACTACCCTTTGATGAATACATTAAATTTTCATTCAAAATAGTCTATTTTTATTAAAAATAAACTAATAGAAAAAAGTAAAGCAAAAGCAAAGATTTTCTTTGTTTTAAAACAGCTTTATCAAATGTCCATGAGTACCGTGTGCAGGAAATTACTTTGTCACAGCTAGGCAGTACGTCGTGGGCGGATTCAAACTCAGCACAGGTATTTATAATATCAAAAATCATATAACATTGCAATTCTCTATAGATGAAGACTTTCTTTGCATAATAAATGTGTTGAACTTCACGTAAAACAATATTGAAACAACAATGAACCAATGGGAATAAATATAAGAAATAAATTATTACATGGATTACAGAAGGGATAAGGAAAGCTACAAAACATTGTTTTAATTTTTTTTATTTCTGAATTTTGAAATAATTATTACTCTGTGTATGTCATTTAAGATTGACAAGGCGGAAGGAGCTGATATTAAATTCAAGAGCACTTTTTTCGGAACCTTTGCATCTAACACGCTATTCATTCCGCCAGCCACCATTGATTTTGAGGCCATTTTTACCAACTTCTTGGAGCGCTTAAGGCTCACCCCACACGTTCTCGTCATTTTTGTGATCTTATTTGTACTGGTTGTTATTTTGACTATATTTCTTAGAAGAATGGACATAAGTGATCACTTAATTGTAAGTATAAAAATCTAGACATAAATAAATAACACGTGTTTAAAGTGGTTCGTAAGGGGGTGTTTAAGAAAGTTCGTTCCATGGTGAAAATTTTATCAAATATTTCAAAGTACTGTATATCTTAAAATATGAATTTTTCAGTCTGATAAAATCACATAATTATTATAAAGATTTATAGCAAGCAAATTCTTATATGAAGTTAATAGTTTTTTTACCATATGAAAATATACGTATAAAACATATTCAAAGCACCCAAATGAAAGAATTTTTTTTTTTTGTTGTTTTTTTTTTGTTTGTTTGTTTGTTTGTTTAAATGTAGAGGTTTTTATTTTTGTTTCTTCACAGCTTATCTTGTACATACAAAACTGATGAGCTTAGGTATAAGAAAGATGAAACATAAGGAGATAACGAACAGTATTTGAGCTCAGTCGACCGGTCATGTCCACTGTGTGCTTCTTGTCATTATCGGGAAATAACGGGAATCCCTGGACAACTCAGTGTGTGAATAATGGCTTAACAATCAATATGAAAAAAAGTCAGTCAGCATTTGACCTCATGATAAATTGTATTAGCTGCAGATCTGTAGCTCTCCGAAATATATATATTGACAGACCGGAGAGCTACAATGCCACCCATTGAAAAAACTGTATATTTATTGCGCACAAAAAGCTGCGCTTAGTTTTGGATTAATTCTTCCAAATTCTTTCCTCAATTGCGAAAAAGCGTAATTTCAAAATATTCCTTACTCCTTCATCAGGTACTCTCGTAATTGACATCTGCGATAAGCGTATTGTGTGTGAATAAATAGACGAATTTTTCTATGATCTCAATTTCAGTCCCAGAAGGGCTATTTACAAGAATTATAAGGAATATTTTGTTGTGGATACAGTGAAAGAATATGTTAGGAACACACGGTTAGTAATATTTTGAGGGACAGTTTTTAAAACATGGAGAAATAAATCGAGAAACAGCGCACTTTTTTGTGCGCAATAAATGTACAGTTTTCTCAGTGGGTGACACTGTAGCTCTCCGGTCTCTCAAAATATATTTTCGGAGAGCTACAGATCTGCAGCTAAAATTGTATTTGCTGACTAGGTCATTGTATCGACCATTAAACTTACAAAATTATGACTTTAAACGAGACTACTGATAATCTTGCTTCATCAGCTTGTTTGTCAATAACTTACCTCATTTTAGAACGTGTTCATACATAGAACATGCTCTTCCGTATCGGATCAACTGAGAGATATTAACTCCGTATGCAGTAAATGACAAGGGTATATGGTTGTATAAGTAAGGGAAGTTGACTATTGAAAAGTTTAAGTCAGCACATTTATCATGAAGTTTTGTTGTTAGATTACCATTAATGTAAAGATCAATCATTTTCAAAAAATAGGTTCGTCACAATGAAATTTTGATCTGACTTGATAAATTTTGCATAGTATTTGAAAGGATTATTTGACATATGTGCTTAATATATGTCAAAAATATGATGCATGTAGTACTTGAACATTTAAGCATTTTTGGAATCAAACATTTATGCATAAACATACTCTTTATTTTTAACATCGAAAGAAATAAATTAGCATATTCTTTGGTTTAGCCTCATTAATTATTACACAAATGCTAATAAACAAATTTCAATGTTTCAGTGGGATTACTTGCCATTGGCGGACAATAAGCGACAAGACACGTATAAATACACAATTTCTGTATTTACCGCCATCAGATCATCTCGTATGCTAACATCAACCCCTTACTTTGTCCTCGAGGGGTCAAAGGGTTCTACTGGAGACCGTATACTGTTTGACGGACAACGTGAGGTGATTTAATAAACCCATAAAATCAGTTAATTTTTTACATTTGTAAAACATACATTTGAAGGGGGGGGGGGTGAAGATTTTAAAACTTTTTTTTGCAAATATATACATAATATAGGCATTGAAAATTGGGTTGTACCTTTTTTGTTGGTTTAGACCCCCGTTTTCATTTTCAATTTGCTTCCGGCGCCTATGTAAAGTGAAGATTAAATGTTTGAACAATTTATTTCTCCTGTTGCCCACGTTGGAAAGAACGTTTTTTCTCTAAAAGAATTTATGAAATCATATAACATGACGCCGCATGTCACAAAGGGAACTCCAAGTGCTCCAAGGCTATGATTGCCAAATGCAGGTCAAAATTTGCAGTTTTTTCCAAAACTTGTGATGTCGGTGGAGGTCTGCACATTAAAACCTGTACTTTGTACTTCGGGTCTCTGAGTAGTGTAGATCTCCTTCGTGGAATCACCTTCTGTTCCATCCGAAGGACTGGTCCAAACGTCCTGCAGTGCAGCTTGAACCTAAATAAAACGTAATAACTAAGGTTAAATACGTTAGTCCTATAGGATATAGATTACTTGATTTGTATGATTATTTATATTCTATAAATGTGGAAAAAAAACCAAATATTTATTTCTAAGTGAAACTACTGTAATTCAAAACAGGATTTTAAGCAGGGGTGGGACTTTAAATTAAGAGATTTTCCATCATTTCCTTTTATAGATTGTTTTATTGTTCCGTGATGGTTTTTTACTTGTATCAAATGAAAAGTCATGCACTTGCAAAAAAAGTAAGAAATGTTTCTGAGCATAATTAATATAAGTAATTGCATTTTAATATCAAATATCGAATATTTATAAATGTATAAGTTATTAATCATTTAATGCTCTTTAAACAGAATTTTGGTGCAGGCACCTGCAGCAACTTTTTAATGTCGACAGACGATGAATTAGGTAAACTAAAAAGAATAACAATATGGACTGACAACAAAGGAAGTTCCCCGGACTGGATGTTGTCAAAAGTTGTCATAATAGATCTAACTACCAAAGAGAGGTAACCGATAATTTTTTATGCAACATGTCTTCTCCGACAATAAATTTTATTTCTGTTAGAGCAATCAATTACAAAATATATATTACTTACTGCATTAACACTAATTGGGTTATAAAATAAATCTATGACGCTTAACGTAATTTTTGCAAAAATATTAATAAATTCTAACTGGTAATTCTAACCAAATAATGGTAATTGTTGTTATTTTAGCAAAGCTTAGGGTCTTATATAATAAATGTATAGCGATGATTGAATTTAATGAACAATTTTTAAACTTTTTCCTTTAATTTTTGAAGCTATACATTCCTTTGTGGCGAATGGATATCCCAGAAATATGGAAACTGTGACACGTGGGCTGTTCTCGAACCTCTTTCAAAGGGTCTTCTTGTCAGGGAAACCATTTTCACAGAAACAACAAGAAAGGGGTTCTTTGATGATCACCTTTGGTTTTCTATCTCCAAACGTCCAAACTACAGTCAATTTACCAGGGTTCAAAGACTCTGGACGCTAATGGCTCTTCTGTTCCTGTCAATGGTTGCGTCGGCGATGTGGTTTAATCAGGAGCCATCAGAGGAGGACAAGGATCCAGACACAGTCAGTGAAATCAGAACTGTGGAGCTGGGACCGTTCAAATTAAGTTACAAACAGCTGTACGTAGGGTTTATGTCATCTCTGATTACATTTGTTCCATCTATAATTATAGTGGCAATCTTTAAAAACAGAAAGATTAAACAAGGGAACAATAACACTTCCGACCCTGAAAAATCAGAAGTAGTAGCAATGGAAAACAAGCAACGGAGACTCCTTCTTCCTTGGCAGAGTGTATTTTTTGCATATGCTCTTATTGGTCTCTGCATAGCTACTGGTGGAACATTCACATTTCTTTACTCGTTAGAGTTCGGAACTGATAAGACCAATGATTGGTTAATGTCGTTTGTGTTTGGAACTCTCTTGGGCGTCCTTATCCTGGAACCAATCAAGGTGGAGTTTTTTTTTCTATCCTTAAATGCATCATTCATGTCTCTCTTAGTTTCTTTGTTATCTTTGATATTTTCAAAGAAAGAGGGCGTTCAATGCGTGGACATTCCCCCGCTCTGAGATAATATGTTTTGTTATTTTCAAAATTCACGGTAAAGTGATATTTTTCTAATATCGTATTCTCAGTAATGTCATTTTCAAAACATTTTACCATTTTATTTTACTGAAAGAGATCATTTGACAATCATTTTTTCAAAGTTGACAGTTAAGCATATTTAGTGGAAAATGGGTTTACTAAAGTTGAAAATGGGTTTACTAAAGCCATAAAAAAAGAATTTTGAACATGAATGAGTCAAGTTTCCATTCTTCGTTAATGCTAAAATGATGGTAACGTAAATGTTAAATCTATTTCATTTGTCAAAAAAAATAGAATCTGAACCTATTCTATATGAAAATCGAATATTTCTGAAAAAAATATATACGCTTCAACAAACCCGTTCATTTGTCTCACATTGACAAGCATCGATAACACATATACATCGTAGCATAGTGGTTAATGCGTTTGGTCAAACCCTGCGATATGGAGGGAGTTCGAATCGTATTTGAAGCGTTTTCACGACTGAAAAATAAAGTATTAAGAAAATATTAAGACAATAAAAACAATTAAATATGTAAAAGATGATATTGACCATATAATTTCGAAAAATCTAACTTTTCATAAACTTTTAGAATTGAGAAATGTCTTTTCTTAGAGCGGGGGATTGTCCTCGTCTTGCACGCCTCCATTCTTTCGAAATATATGTGACTCATTGAATTCAAAACATTTCAGGTCCTCCTATTTGCAATTTTAATTGCATGTTGTCTGCAAAGATCAAAAGAAATCCTTTCAGACGTAGGAAATCCATATCAAGATGTATATGTAAAAGGTGTGATTTTTATGTATACTGGTAGGGAATTACATTTTATAAACCTAATTATGTTTTGTGCTTGCTTTACGTTTTCCACATGAAGAATATTATATTACATTTTATTTGTTCTTGATTTATTATATTGTTTTTGTTTTTTAATGCTTTATATCATTTTTAAATAATTTCTTTGTTGCTGTTGTTTTTACTGCTGCTTATGCAGTTTTTTTTTTTCAAAAAATATTATTTTATTTGTATGAATTTGTTTTGCGTTATTTTATTTCTTTCCTATTTGTTTGTTTGATACGGAATGGGGATGTGGAAGGTTTTTTTGTACTTACCTTTTAGAATGTTTTTCTACAAATCATCGTTTAAAATAATTGAAAATTGAATTCTAAAAATTATATAATATTTTTGTCCATTCTTCTTTACTAAAAGGTAATGTCATAACATTTTTTTTAAATTTTCCTTTATTAGAGGACGATGCAGAGGAGGAATCGGACGAGGTGGAAGCGAAACTCGTTTACCACCCTTGTCCAATCGCAAAGGCAAATACCAGAAAAAATCAGATGAAAAAGAAGAGACTCAAATTAGACAACGAATTAGTAGAACAGTTCAAGTCTTTCCTTCTGTGTGTATTATATATATTTATCCTCGCTATGATCTGCTCACACGTCACCACGACGACGGCTTTCCGCCAGAACGAGTCTATGACCATTTCCGTCAATAGAAGTTTTGTGGTATAAGCTGATATTTTGTTGTTGTTGTTGTTGTTTAGAGAAATAAAATCAATATATATTTAATTGGTGCATATTTGCCATAGCTTATTCAACTTGTGAAAAAGAAAACTATTAACATTGTATTCTCTCTTTCTTATTTTCATCTTAATGCATTTAAAAAAAAGTACCCGTGTATCTCACCAATTTTTATGACCTGCATGTTTTGAGTTTCAAGCTTATATAGAATTTACAATTGGTAATCAAGTGTATGTGCAGTAACAAAACAGCTAAACTATTTACCATAAATGTGTAACAATGTTTAGGATTTGACCATTTTAATTTTGAAGGTAACCACGATAGATGACATCTGGACTTGGCTGACCGACTACTATATTAATGCAACTTGGACCAAATATTTCGTGAATGACGATCTGAGGACGGCGTATGAACAAAGGTTTACTTATGATGAGTACAGTTATAGAATGTCATTGATTCAGCTTAGACAAGTTCGCTCCTATGGTAAGTAGGCTATTTCAACAACACTAGTTTAACAATTACTTGAATCAAGTTCTCTTTAAAAATCGTAAACATTCCAACTTTTTGAACTACAAAATGTTATATCTATTGATCTTACTAGATATAAAAAAGAAATCAAATTTCCTTATCGAAATTCTAACAATCTAATGTCCCTCTACAGGAAACTGCAGTGGACCGAAGGTTGTTCAGGATGTTGTTACAAGGTGCACAAATGATTATGATATCGAAACAGCATCCACTGAAAACTTTTGTCCAGGTGAGAAATATATATGAGAGAGTTTTTCTATGAGATTGATTTCTGATAAACTTTAAATCATGAAACAAGAAGAAAATTTAATACAATGTACAGTCCGCATGAATTTGTATTCACAGGTTGGGAAAAATTCAACGCTTCTTGTTTTGATGAAAACGAAATAACCGACTACAGCTTTCAATATAAATCCCCCGAGGAACTGAAATCTTTTTCATATTATGGAAAATATGCGTATTACGGTGGCGGAGGATATCAAATGCAGCTGGGTCCAAAGCAATCCTTGGTTATCAAGCATGTCAATATGCTCAGATCTAAAACATGGATAGATGGAAACACTCGGGCAGTATTCATAGATTCAAATACGTTCAATGCTAACAGCCGACTATTTACACATTTGAAGGTCGTTTTCGAGATTTCAGAGTATGGAGCTATTACAATGACAACAATATCAAAATCCTCCAATTTATACCCGTATGTGTATGCATTGGACTACGTCATTCTTTGTCTACAGATAGTCTTTGTGATTATAATCTTGACTAAAATGGTTCTGTTTGGGATAAAGGTATTTAAATTGAAGCGAAAGTGTTTCGTCACTTTTGGTATGTGGATAACATTAGCAGAAATACTATTGGCTTTGTCGGCTTTTGTGTTCTTCATCATTCGAATCGACAAGACGATCAAAGCAGTAGACGACATCAATGGTAGCAACGGTTAGTTCTTTTCCATTCCTATTGCATCTCCAATCCATCAGTATATTGTTGCTCTAGGAAGTACTTTGCATGTCCTGTATAAGATGTCTTTTTTTGCAGAATTAAAGGCTTTTTTTTCTTTTCTTTGCAGGAGCTTTTGTGTCGTTTGAAGAAGTGGAATTATACGACGAAATTTACCGCTCGTGTCTAGCTGGTGTATTTTTCTTAGTCATCCTTCGGCTATTGCAGCCTTTATCTTTTAATTACCACCTGTTTGTCTTGGAAAAGTCTCTCTCAAAAGCCAGAACAGATCTCATTTCTTACAGCATTTTGCTGTCAATTTCTTTGACGGCGTTTGCTTCGTATCTTTATCTTACTTTAGGCAGGACTGTTTCCGATTTCAAAAGCATGGATGCCTCGTTAGGAACTTTGTTTCAGATGCTTCTGTCCATGATATCCTTCCGCTTTAACGTGGACATGTCGTCTTTGCAAGCGCAAATTGTTGTCAGTTTGTTCGCCTTCACAGTGTCAATGATTGGAATCAATCTTTTTATCGGAATACTTACATGGAACTTTTATTACATCAAACTCTTACAAACCGACAAGGAGGCCACAGAAAACCAACTTTTTAACCAAGAACTCAACGATCACTTTTGGTGGAGAGTTGATAAAGCATTGCGTCAACTGATTTTCAGAAGATCACGTACGTTTTTTTAAATTGTCGCCTTAGGTGTGACTTCAGATAAAGACAAAAAAATTAATTGCATATATTAATTTGTGTTTTTTCTTTGTTTCAGCAAAGAGTAAAAACAATTATGCTCTTTATAAGGCAAGTCTTACACAATATTGATTGTCAACATGGATTCTATTTCGAACAAATTAAAACAAACCAAAAGTATTTTGAAAAGAACAATTTGTTCCTAAATTTTGGATTTTTACTTTAGTGTTGTGCACATTCTTAGACAGATTGTACAAACAAAATATTTACAAATAATTATGTGTCACCCATTTCAGAAAGTAGAAAAGAAGATTGATTGTATAGATCAAAAGTTTAATGATATCACGAAGGAAGAAATCGAGTGGACATTTTCTGCATCGGCGATGATGTTTATCTGCAAAAAAGATCAAAGGAGAAAACTTCTGGGGTGCTGTATAACCGCACACAACAACGACATTCAGTACAGGTACTACCAAATTCTAGGACTCACTTGACGAATTAAATGATAATGTACGCTTATACGATTCTTGATTTTAGGCAATGTGAGAATTTTAGTATTCTAGAACTTACTACAATTTTGTTAATATTATTTTCAGATTTTTTGACCAAATGACGAAATCGACGAAGATAGTCCTTACCCTCCCGTACTTGAGACCCGGAGATGCTCCCGAGATCATTTGTTACGAAGTCCCCCTGCCTTTATTTATCCTTAGTGGATTCAAAATTCCACACAGTGATTGTGCAAAGACTGAAATGTTTGAATTTACTATAAATGGCAATTTACACACAGCTAAGGTAAGAGATTTCACTTTATTTTTGTTATGATCCCCAAAAATTGTGTAGTGTAAATCACTTAATTTTCGCGACACCTTATTTTCGCGAGATAGTCATTGAATCTTTATTAGCGAGAAAAAATGTTCACGAAAACGAAAATGAAATTTTCGCGAGCAAATTGTCTCGCGTAATTACGCGAAAATAAAGTTCTTGTGAATAAATAGTGATTTACAGTATTTGACAGATAAATGAATTATTTTATACATTTTGTAGTGTGGCTCCAGAATAACATTTAAGGCTGGTGATATAATGCCGGAAGATATCGTCCATTGTAGCTATGACAGCATGAGGTCATGGCAGACGAAGCTCCTACGTGAGGTTGAATTTTTAAAAAAAATAATTTATAACGAATAATTCTAAAGTCTTTAAATATTTTTCTTGTGGACTGAGTGAACAAATGGCCTTTTAAGGTTGTATGTCAGATCTAAACTGGTTCCCGAATTTTTTTTCCAGGAAGAATCATTAGGAGTGTATTGCAGCAAGTTCCATTCGGTTCCTTCTCATTGTTTTGTGGTACATCGACAGGAATCTATAAAACTCGATATCGGAGAGCTGCACACATTTCCTGATTTAGAACGTCATCGGCTTTTTAAAACTGATCACTGCATTCGACTCCGGTCTGATAAACGTATAGCCATTGCTATATCGGCAAACGCTATACAAGAAAATGGGGATATCGTTATTATGGTATGCTCAATAGAAGCTGGAAAAGTTGTTTGAATTTGGGTTTTTTTCCTATAATTGTTTAATCCTTCTTTCATTAATTCAGGTGGAGAAACCATTTGCCGCATTATGTCCAATATTACAGCTCTATTCTACAAGAAAAATTAGTGGCACAATAGATATATGTTTGCCATTGAGACATCAGCCTACTTCACACACTCTTAACAGTATGTTTAATTTTTTTAATTATTTTTTTCTATACATGAATGCAGGGGCATGCAATGTGTCTGAGTTAAACATTGTGGTGGATAGATATGTAATGATACAGTTTTGAACATTATATTATTTTTCTTCAAGTAAATTTTGCGTTGAAATCATAAAGACAGGTATCTAGAATTCCTCAGATTTGCAAAAAAAGTAAGAAAAAAAAGTTCTGAAACAATTATTTCTTCTCATTAAGGTGTGACACGAGAGTTCTGGGTGTTAATTCGTGAGAAGAATGCTCTTTGGAAAAAGACTGAATGTCAGGTGGAACTGGACTTTGATCGAATCGTACTGTGTCTTCACCTCATCAACATGAAGTAAATGCTTCATTTGTATTCTACATCTTACTTTTAATATCTCTATATTCTATCAAATATATTTTTTCTTGTATGAATTAAACTGTGAATTTTTGTACAATTTCAAAATGTATTAGAATACAAAATAAATTAAAAATGATTCATAAATACTGATAAACATGTATAACCAGTACAAAATTAATTCAGCTATTCATCGTTTTCTGTGCTTCAGGACACCCACAGCTATATGTGTCAAGGAAGTTTTGCTACCCTGGGTAGGAATTCTAATTTTCAGTTTCACTCAGCTTTGGACTTTTCTTCTTTCTTATCTTTGAACTTACATTAAATATGTATGTCTGTGTTTTACAGGGGCAACTACAGCCTGCGACGCAAGGTATATTTTTGATTCAGACATCATCTATTGGTTAGACTGTACTATTCAGTTAACTGAATCTTGAGGGAAAAGTCTGGAATTGAGGCGGAAGACAGGGTTCTGTCACTCAGTCATATTTCAGTTAGCTGAACGGCATAGTTTCATCCTCTGGTATCGTGCAATTGAATGCATAAATATCTCTTTTGGGCTCTTACATCTAAAACAAAAAAAAATGTTTTACTTACTAGGTTTTGTTAATATTTTACCATTGTTATATTATTGAACAGAGTGGAAATTTGTGGGAGAAATAAGCAAGTTGAGCCAAAATGCAGCGGTTCAGAAACACTGGCGGGATTTAGCAGAGAAATGCAAAGTGACCTACACCTCCACGTTTGAAGACCACCATCTTCCCTATTTTATCTCTGTTGAGAACCGGAAGTATGTTTTTAACATGGACAGGTGCTTGTTCAGACGAATCACCAAGGTCCCCATTTCTGATCAAGAAAAATGTCTGGCCATATTGTCGGCATGGCTGAAAGGGTTAAAGTCGAAGACTGGCGTGTTCTCATTGATTCCTTTGTTGAGAGAATATAACCTGCCTTATATTCCAGGTACAACACATTTTAAAAGTTTTGTTTAAATAACTTTCTTATTTTGTACAAACATTTATAATAATAATAAAAAACATGCCATTAACATAATCTATAAAATCTGGTTTCTTTTGTTGACTATTAAATATATAAAAAGTGAATGTGATTATTCTATTCATTTGCGTTACATGCATCAGAATCTGCATTTTTTTTTTATTTTTATTTATTGAATTTATTTTTAGATTTGTAGCGAAACCAAAAATGTGAAAACCAGAAAGAAGCTGCTGCTATTGCCATCCAGCATTAATCTTCATGTGGAGAAAAAAAACTTTTTTTTCATTCGATAGGCCGTGAACAAACTACTGGCCATTGATGCAAATATATCATGAATCGGACAGCTGCAGCATAATTAATTGAATAAAATCCACAGTTTATGTATTAGAATTTTTGCACAAGCTTGTAATCTTGAAGTCTCTAACATTATGACTTGAATGAAAATTTACAAAAATATATGATTTTAAAAAGAAAGCAGTCTATAATACTAAACTCTTTATCATATAGCTTATTTATAGTCCGCTAGCTCATTTATATTCTGTTCTGTACACGCTCAAAGTGTTTGTTACTCTATGATTCAAGTAAATATTTTAAAAAATATTTTTACGACGGCAAAATGCACCAAGAGCATTATTTTTTTAAAATACAGTGATCAACCAAGGATCAAGATCGGACTTAATTTACAGTGCTACATGTATTATCATGGTATTACTTTATGATGTATTTTTAATATTGTTCTTAGCTCACCTGAGCCGAAGGCTCAAGTGAGCTTTTCTGATCACGTTTTCTGATCACATTTTTCCGTCGTCCGTCCGTCCGCCTGTAAACTTTTCATATTTTCGACTTCTTCTCACGAACCACCAGGCCAATTTTGACCAAACTTGGTACAAAGCATCCTTGGGTGACGGGAAATTTGAATTCTTAGTCCACTCACAAGGGGAGATAATCAAGAAAAGACAAAAATAGGGTGCGGTCATTAAAAAACCTTCTCAAGAATCACTGGGCCAAAAAAGCTAAAACTAATGTGGAAGCAACCAGGGATAGTGTAGATTCTAAATTGCTCAAATCATGGCCCCCGGGGGTAGGGCGGGGCCACAATAGGGAATCATAGTTTTACATGGAAATATAAAGGGAAAATCTTTAAAAATCTTCTTCTCAAGATTAACCGGGCCAGAAAAGCTGAAACTTATGTGGAAATATCCTGGGGTAGTGTAGATTCTAAATCGTTCAAATCATGACCCCCGGGGGTAGGGCGGGGCCACAATGGGGAATCAAAGTTTTACATAGAAATATATAGGAAAAATCTTTGAAAAGCATCCTGGGTTAGTGTAGATTCTAAATTGTTTAAATCATGGCCCCCGGGGGTAGGGCGGGGCCACAATGGGGAATCAAGGTTTTACATAGAAATATATAGAACAAATCTTTGAAAATCTTCTTCTCAAGAACTACTGGGCCAGGAAAGCTAAAACTTTTGTGGAAGCATCCTGGGGTAGTGTAGATATTAAATTGTTAATATCATGACCCCCGGGGGTAAGGCATGGCTGCAATGGGGAATGCAAATTTTGCATTGAAATATATAGAACAAATACTTAAAAATCTTCTTCTCAAGAACCACAGGGCCATAAAAGTTGACACTTATGTGGAAGCATTCTGGAGTAATGTAGATTCTAAATTATTAAAATCATGACCCCGGGGGTAGGGCGGGGCCACAATAGGAAATCCAAGTTTTACAAAGATATATACAGGATTTTTTTTTTTAAATCTTCATCTCGAGATCCACAGGGCCATAAAAGTTTACACTTATGTGGAAGCATTCTGGGGTAGTGAAGATTCTAAATTGTTAAAATCAAGACCCCCGGGGGTAGGGCGGGGCCACAATAGGGAATACAAATTTTATATAGAAATATACAGGAAAATTTTTTTTCTCAAGAACCAGTTGGCCAGGAAAGCTGAAACTTAGGTGGAAGCATCCTGGGGTGGTGTAGATTCTAAATTGTTAAAATCAAGACGGGGATGGTGGTGGGGAGGGGGAAGGGGTAAGGGGCCACAATAGATATAAGAAGAGGGGAAATCTGGTAAAGAACTGCATCACCAGTGTTACTCAGGTGAGTGATGTGGTTCATGGGCCTCTTGTTTTTTTTTTATGAAACTATTTCATAATTAAAGAATTTGTTTGGAGTTTATTTTTAAAAGTCTTGTGTGTATTGTTTAATTAATACGTCCATTTCCAATGTCTTTGTCCGACATAAAATTACAAAGTGTACGAATACTTAAACCCCAGTCACATTTCCAAAAACGACCGACGGTCGACGGGTTTTGAAGCAAAAATGGGATTCTTCGGGTGACAGTCGTCAGTTCATCGGCCGTTGTCTTGTCCGATTTTAACCTCTTTTTTTGTCGGCCGACCAATTTTGTGTCCATCGGTCCAAGTTATAATTCTTTATGCGTCGGTGGCCGATTCCTTCAATTGAAGTTATCCGCCGACCAACCTTCAATCATCGTCCGACCATCAGCGGTCAGTTTATAAAGTCGGTTATCCGTCGTTGGACAACAAGGTTGTTTAAAATTTCGGCCGACGCTTAAAATCAAACTGTAGCTCAGAGCTCGATGATCGGACGACGATTGGCCGACTTGTGAATATTTAACCTAGTAAGGATCCATAACACAAACAAAATTTTGATGCATGGATTGATATAAATTTTTTGAACGGAAATAACATGAATAATTAATCCGTAAGATATAAAGAAATCTTAAGTATTCTTTGCTGCTTAGATATGCACCATTTGTCAATTTTATGCAATTCCATACAGAATTTTGCACACATTTTCAACATTGAGCCACAATTTTATAAGATTCTGCCACTTTGCCTCGCAAACATTACTCACGTCACCTATCTGAATATAGATCTATGAAAAAAATATTGCTGAATTCTAAAGAAAAAAAGATTTTTTGTGTTATTTGTCCAAGTCATCGGTGTCCCTAGGAATTAATGTGACTGCTCTTTGTCGCCCGATACTGTATCGGCCGATCATGTTCTTTCAGCCGACAAGACCAGAAAAATTTAGTCGCCCGACTATCGTCTTAAATGTGACCTAGGCATAAAACCCCAGTCACATTTCCAAAAACGAGCAACGGCCGACGGGTTTTGAAGCAAAAATGGGATTCTTCGGGTGACAGTCGTCAGTTCATCGGCCGTTGTCTTGGCCGATTTTGACCTCTTTTTTTGTCGGCCGACCAATTTTGTGTCCATCGGTCCAAGTTATAATTTTTTATTCGTCGGTGGCCGATTCCTTCAATTGAAGTTATCCGTCGACCAACCTTCGATCATCATCCGACCATCGGCGGTCAGCTTATTAAGTCGGTCGTCCGTCGTTGGACAATAAGGGTGTTTAAAATTTCGGCCGACGCTTAAAATCAAACTGTAGCTCAGAGCTCGATGGTCGGACGACGATTGGCCGACTTGTGAATATTTAACCTAGTAAGGATACATGGATTGATATGATTTTTTTTTTTGAACGGAAATAACATGAATAATTAATCCGTAAGGTATAAAGAAATTTTAAATATTCTTTGCTGCTTAGATTTGCACCATTTGTCGTTTTTATGCAATTCCATGCAAAATTTTGCACACATTTTCAATACTGAGTCACAATTTTATACGATTCTGCCACTTTGCCTCGCAAACATTACTCGCATCATCTATCTGAATATAAATCTATGAAAAGATATTGCTGAATTATAAAGAAAAAAATTGTGTTATTTATCCAAGTCATCGGTGTCCCTAGGAATTAATGTGACTGCTCCGTTTCGCCCGATACTGTATCGGCCGATCATGTTCTTTCAGCCGACAAGACCAGAAAAAGAGGGTGTTGCAGTTCTTTTGTTATTTTCCCTAAATGTGTAGCATATTAAAAGAAGAATTTTTTTGTTGCAGAAACTCATTTTTTTTTTCAAATGCATCAATATAAAGCACAACGAGAAACAATATTTGGAAGCTGCGTATTGACTTCCAGTTTGCCACAAAATGATGTGAAAATTAGTCTCAAGGCAAAATATATAAGATTTTCCGCGTTTTGATTAGGGAATCCCCATTGTTCTGAAAAAGTGCCTCCTTGAAACAAAATAATTTTGATATATACACAAAGAGGCAGGAATTTTCTTCAAAACTGCCATCTCCGATTTTTGTTTCAAAGAGGCACAATTTTGAAAAACGCAAAAATTGAATAAAAATTTATTAGATACAAACGAAATGCAAATTGTGTACATTAAATAACACTGGAAAACAATCGTGTCCGAATTGGTCTGGTTGATATGCTGGTTGGTTACCAACTCGTACGTTTATCAGAGAATGGGTTCAATCCTGGAATGGGTCATTTTTGCATATATATTTTTTTCTCTATTTTTTTTTTCCATATGTAATGGTAGTGCAATGAAATTATATATTTTTGAAAGAGAGAGAATGTCAAGAAGTTAATTGTCATGAGTAATAACTATATGCAGGATAAAATTATTTTCCTTGATATGCTTTGACTTAAAACTAATACTTTATTTAGTTTTGTCTTGGAAAATAATTTACTGTATTGTTTAAATAATTAATTTTTTACATACTGTAGTTATTGCAGTTTTGAATAATTCTGGTCTCTTAGTTAGTAGTCAAGATTTGATTTGAAAGAAATGAAATGTCTTGGATGTAGCACCAACAGTGTGATTATGGGACGCAATTTTATTTCACGAAAAATACTTTCGCACGATGTCTACAGTACATCTTTCAAACTACTGCTTTAGCTATTGTGATTTTTGTTGTTCCAACCTTTTTCGTGCAAAATGACGAAAGTGTTTTGCTGTATCAAGCAGGATATACCCGCCGTAAACATAGTCCTCTACGTAGCTGTATCTATATTTATATAACCGTCTAAATTGTGCATTCACTACACTAATGTATAATACGGAACTCCAATATGCAGCTTTAACAGATTTATTAACAAAGAGGACAGGCTCCGCCATATAGCGGACGAGAGCGCTGTCCAGCGTGGCTGTCTTGGCGAAAGCCAACCGATATCGTCCAGAGATAAATGTTTACTCAAGTCTTTAACTCTGAAGTCCTTGACACCTGTTCAATTTATAATTAATCTGCCCGGAGGCGCTTTGATCTTTGTCCCGGATTAACACTAATTTCCTTGGTCATATTTGGTCCTCCTCCGGCTAAGAAATGTCCTCATTTCTGGTAAAAACATAACTGTACACACAATAAACACACGGGTAGAATATCAAGACACAATAGAATAATTAGCATCAAACAGTGAGGAATGTGTGACCTAGCAGTACTAATGGAGTAGCTGTAATTAATTCACAAAATATGATAAAATGTATGCCAAAATTTGTGCAAAACTGTGTCAGAATTTTAATAAAAAGTAACTAAGCACACTTATAATCAAAGTACAATTTTTTTTAGAGAGGGTCATAATAATATAGCTTTCTTTCCTTTCTTGTTTTTTTTTTTTAACCAAAACCTTATTTGTATAAATTTATTTACATTTATGAAACATGGACAGCACATTAAATGCAGGGTATAGGGTTATAAAAAGGAATCAAATCTATACCACACTTTTTTTTGACTAGACTATATACAGTATGTTCTTGAAAATAGGGCAACATG